TGTGTAAACGCGTGTGTGTGTATGTGTAAAAGTGTCTGTGTGTAAAAGCGTCTGTGTGTAGAAGTGTTAGTGTGTAAAAGCGTCTGTGTGTACATTTGTCCCGCAAACCCTTTCGCACAAAATGAGGTTCGATCGCCAAAAAACTGTGTGTAAAAGTGTTTGTGTGTAAAAGCAACTGTGTGTAAAAGCGTCTGTGTGTAAAAGCGTCTGTGTGTAAAAGCTTCTGTGTGTAAAAGCGTCTGCGTGTAAAAGCTTCTGTGTGTAAAAGCGTCTGTGTGTAAAAGTGTTTGTGTGTAAAAGTGTGTGTGTGTGTGTAAAAGTGTCTGTGTGCAAAACCGTCTGTGTGTAAAAGCGTCTGTGTGTAAAAGCTTCTGTGTGTAAAAGCGTCTGTGTGTAAAAGCGTCTGTGTGTAAACGCGTGTGTGTGTGTGAAAGCGTCTGTGTGTAAAAGCGTCTGTGTGTAAACGCGTGTGTGTGTGTGAAAGTGTCTGTGTGTAAAAGCGTCTGTGTGTAGAAGTGTTAGTGTGTAAAAGCTTCTGTGTGTAAAAGGTCCTGTGTGTAAAAGGGTCTGGGTGTAAAAGTGTCTGTGTGTAATATGGTGTCTCCATACTAACAAGAGAAGACCCTGCTCCTCTACGCTTTCGGGCCATCCGTCGTCTAGTTACATATTTACATATTTACATATATACATATGTACATATATACATATGTACATATATACATATGTACATATGTATATATTTACCTATTTACATATATACATATATACATATATACATATATACATATATACATATATACACATATATACATATATACATATATACATATATACATATATACATATGTATCTATATATATATACATATTTATATACACATATTTATTAGTGGGCTATAATTTTACACACTCCTTTGTATTATATGTATTGAAGAGAGACATATCTATATATATATATATTATGTAAACATTATGTTTATACATATATATATATGTATATGATTATATATGTATGTGTGCGTACTGTCTATAAACTATGTCTTCTCCATCCTCTGGCCATCGTCGCCTGGCCATGCAGCTCGCCCCGTTGCCAGTTGCCATCGTAGACCGAGCCCTCGGGCCACTTCATGCGCCCGTGGCCATGCGGACGGCCCTCCACGAAGAAGCCTGGCTTCAACGCGGCGGTTGTTGGGTGGTTTTCGCGCGGGAAAAGGATGGAAAACGGTCCAAAAACTGGTGAAAAGATGTGAAAACTGGTGGAAAAATTCCGGATGTTCAATGAAACATTTTAGCTGACGTTCCTAAAGTGAGTTGGTGGAAAGCATCTTTTTAGTTTCCCGAGCACCAAATAAGATGATTCTGGGAATGTGGAACTTGCAAAAGCTATTGCGTGCCTGCCTGGTGGTTGAGCCACCCACCGGTTGGGTGGCTCAACCAAATTTGTGCTCAGGCATCATCTCTTTAGATCATGTGGCTACGGCCCAAAAATCAGTCACCCACAAAACTTTTAAATGGGTGCTGTTTAGTACCAAACAATTGTGGCCATCGGCGTTTGTTTGAAAATATAATTACCGGAAAAAACTCCCATGCACTTGTTAATCATCATGTTAGATTAAATGGCTGCTCAGACACGTCCAAAATATCATCTTCATGATTATATCTGTATATCCAGGCTATAAGTTGGCTTTTGAAAATACAGTTTCAAATGGACTAACCCCCCTTACCAACACATACCCAGCAATACATACCTTCATTACAACCCCATTGACAATGGGTCAAAACCCTGGGAATCCCCTTTTGCTCGCATCCAGATTGCTGGGAATTCTGGATGTTCAGATCAAAAAAAAGTATCACGGGCAACTAAATCCATCTAAATTGTTTCATTGAAAAAAACGGCAAGAGACCCCAAACAGTGCGGAGGCTGCCAGGATAATGGATGATGATGATGATGATGATGATGATGTTGATGTTGCGGGCGATAATGTTGAGGATGATGAGGTGCAGGAGGATGATGTGGAAGATGATGTTGAGGAGGTGAGGATAAGGATGATGATGCTGAAGATGAAGGGGAGGAGGACAAGGTGCAGGATGATGATGCTGAAAAGGAGGAAGATCATGATGTTGAGGATGATGATTTCGAGGAGGATGGTGAAAAGGATGATAATGTTGCAGAGATGAGGCGGAGGAGGATGATGTTGCGGAAGATGAGGCGGGGGATGGTGAAGTTGGGAATGGTGGTGTGAAGGGGGGAAGAAGATGATGTTGAGAATGATGATGTTGAGGAGGAGGAGGAGGAGGAGATGTGGATGTTGATGATGATGATGGTGATGAGAAGGAGGCAAATGATGATGATGATGATGGTGATGGTGATGGTGATGGTGCTGATGATGAGGAGGAGGACGACGAGGATCAATAATGATGATGGTGATGATGATGATGATGATGAGGATGAGGATGAGGATGAGGGTGAGGATGATCATGATCGGCCCAGAACCTAGGACCACACTTTGTGCGAGCCCATCAACATTTCACAAGAGACATCAGAAGAGCCACTTTATGCAGAAATTTACAGGAAAACTGCCGCAGCCCAGATTGAGCCCAGAACGCGGACACACATTTTGTGCGCGCCTGCGCAGTCGAAACGCATGTCGAGATGTCACAAGAGCCACGTTATGCAGAAATTTACAAGAAACATGCCGCAGCCCAGCTGGATCTCACAAGCGGGACCCGCACTTTGTGCGAGCCTGCGAGATCGAAATGCACATCAACATTTCACAAGAGACATCAGAAGAGCGACTTTATGCCTTTATGCGGAAATTTACAGGAACAGAACGCGGACACACATTTCGTGCTAGCCTGCTCAGTCGAAACGCATGTCAAGATTTCATCAGAGCCACTTTATACTGAAGTTTACAGGTAAAATGCCGCAGACCAGAGTGAGCACCCTGATCAAGCACCGGCCTTTACTCTTACCGTAAGAACATGTAAGAATCTCTCAGTGTGGACACACTATTTGGTGAACAATGAGATCCCACCAGTTCGTTGGTGAAATCCCTATCTTTCAAGGTGAAACAGCTTCTCTGGTAATCAAAGGTGGCAACTGGAAATTCCCGAACTAAAATGGAGGTCCAAATAAGAAAATCAACAAACTAAATGGGGAATTGTCCAGCAAGCCACGCTTGATGAGCGGAGGGTATGTTCATTCACTTCATGTTGAATATATATATACATATATATATATCATATATATATATATCATATATATATCACTTATACATGATCCACTTCATAGATCATGTATCATATACCATAGATCATATATTATCGTATGTCATATGCCATATGTCGCATGTCATAAGTCATATGTCATGTACGTAATGTATGTAATGTATCTAATGTATGTAATGTATGTCATGTATGTCATGGATAACATGGATGTATGTCATGGATGTGATGTGACGTGATGTGATGTGATGTGATGTGACGTGATGTAATGTAATGTACTGTAATGTAATACAATGTAATGTAATGTAAGTATGCATGCATGCATGCATGCATGGACGGATGGACGGATGGATGCATGCATGGATGGATGTACACATACCCACCATAGATCCATGTTTTTTCATCATCCGCTCCCAGCCTTCATAGACTGTGCCATCACTCCACCCAAAAATGCCAGAGGTCTGAAGATCCGCGCGCCAGCTGCCTTTGTACTGGCCGTAGATCACCTCCTCCCCTGCGAATGACTGGAGTTATCTTCCGAGTGACACCGGGCGGAGAACGGCAGTTGGAACGGGGGGGAAGTCAAATGAGAGGCATCAAGAGTAATTATAATAATCATACACCGCCGTATTACAATATATAGTACTTGGTTAACTTTTGAAAAATAATAATTAGTGACAACCATGATGACAACATGTAATAGCAGTAGTAAAAAACAAAAGCAATAGCAACAATGCGTTGAACTGTTGTAATCGACATCGTCATAATCATCAGAATTCTTTGAGCAATCTTTGCAATTTGTTCAGACCAATGGTGCAGGAGTTGTAATCCACGGAAATTACCAAAAGTCCCCAGACTCGCTGTTGTCACTTTAAGCTGGTGATCAGTTGCGTTTTTTCTGAAAATTGGAATTGGAATACCCAAAAAATCATTTTAACGGGAAAATGATGATAAACCATGGGGTTTGCAGGGGTGTCCCCTGATTTTTTCAGGTACCAAAGTCAAAAAGGGTAATCGCTGCTCAGAACATTCGCTAGCGTCGCCTGTTTCTGCTGCTTTGGCAGTGAAGATCTGATGCCCAAAACCATGACGCAAGCAGCTTCCATCCTCAAGCTCTTGGACTTCTCCAAAATAAACGTCTCCACCATTGCCTGGGACAAAAAAAATGGTTGGGTTGCAATACCCAAACACATCATCATTTTTTTTGCTGTTTTTTTTCTTTTTTCTAATTGAGGTTTGGATTGGAGTTTGCTTTTTTTTTGCATGTTTTTTGCTTTTTTCTAATTGGGGTTTGGATTGGGTTTTGCTTTTTTTTGGATTAGTTTTCGCTTTTTTATTTGTTTAAAATTCTTTAGAAGTAGGCTGAAGGCATTTCACAAGGGTATAACGACCTACAAGGAGGTATCAATGGGCACCAATTTGGCCATGGTTGGCACTGAACTTATGCATCCATTTTGTGAATTTGGGACCAATGAAAATTTTGCCCATGGATCTGATGGGCATGAACCCCAAAACCCCAAAGTCACGGCAAGTCGATCTCAAACTCACAGGGTTGTTTTTGCGCGCGAAAAAAGGATTGAAAACCATAGGCGTTTGCTATCCAGATCTTTTGGGCTGGTCAGGGCACACAACTTCTCAAACATAGACAGTCTAAAATGAACAGCCAAAATTTTTGGGGGACGCCAAGTCGTGTGTCTGTGTGTTTGTGACCCTCCAGTATCCATGGTTGCAATTGGTGTTTTGCTGATCCCCAGCGTTGCGGCCACTAAGCAGAAAACCATGCAATGGAAAAGCAATTAGCCAGGAACCAACTCAGGTATCCAATGGGGGAAAAAAACAAGTGGGCCACCTCTTCCCGCTGATGAACACGTCCAATGACATGTGAATTCAGTGTGATTCCAAGAGATTTTTTTCCAATACCAGTGGCCGTTTTGGCGGTACCAGTGAGCTGGCAGTTCATCATTTCCATGCAAATTTACTAGTAGGCAAACAACAGAACGTTGATCTACTACCTAGTAAAATGAAACAAATCCAATGATGATCCAAGTGTCCTTTCCGAAACAAACAAAACGGGGCAACAATTTCCCGTTTTCAAACATGTTTACATTTTTACGTGTTAAAAATAAAGATTCCCCAGCCGGCCACGTTTGTTCACCATGAAATAAACCATTCATTGGCAATTTCGATCACCAAACGCTAAAAATCTTGATTCCGGTCACGGAAGCACCGCTTGGATCCCATGGTGGCCGAGGCAGAAAACTGCGCCCGGGAAGTTTTACTGAGCCAAGGATGCAGCAATGGCGCTGTCATGAAACGTGCTGACATGAATACCTGGCTGGTGGTTGAGCCACCCATCAGAAAAATATAGAAAAATATTCGCTGATTTTGGATCAACATGCAAAATAGGATAGATTTTTTCCGGACTTTCCTCTGTCTTTGTTGCCCGAGTACTGCGTCAGCGTTCATGGCTGGCGCGTCGCAACGGTGAAATGGACCTGGCTCACTATGCGTATGCGCGGATGCATCCCAAGGCTAGGTGCACGGGTGCAACCCAGGGTTGATAGGCGGTTGCAGCTCATGCGATGCAAGAGCCACAGAGCCGGGCATGAATTATCGGTCAAGCACTGCAAGCACCTTCTTGTCCGGCGCGGTTGACACTCCAACTACGGTTCATGATTGAAACCACACCTTTAGATATGAAAGAAGTTCCGGAGAACTTCATGTACCTTGGAGCCACATCTGAACTTGGGACAGCCTACAACTCCATAGTGCTATCCAACTTTGGACAAACTGGCGCATCCCCTGCAAGGCTTGTTGGGTGCTCAGAATTCTCATGAAGCCATGCAAGAACTTTGGACCAAACTCTCGGGGCAACCATACCTGACCACAACGCATAGTCAATGTACTCCAAGATGACAGACCTGCTCGCAAGACCTGTTAGTGTATCACTTAATTTGGGGGGTCAAAGATGACAACTTCACAGATTCGATATATCTACCTTGGACATCCTTGGACACTGTTCAGAGAAGCGCAAAGCCACATGAGTCGTAACGTCGTCCTAACGGCTTGTTAGAGGCTTTAGAGTTTCTGATTCAGAATGGGATCCACATGGGGTGTAACAATCCCCTATAAAGGGATATAAAGGATATTTAAAAAAAAATCATCGGCGAACTGTGGTGTTTAAAACAACTTACACATTTGTGGGTTACACAATGTTCCCTCTGTTGCTACATTGTGATACACCGAAGTTCTTGGGCCTCTGCATTTTCACCGTTGGAACACGCTGAAAGGAGAAGGAGTAAAATACGATGAAATGGGTTTGTCTGAGAATGGGATATGTACCCCATTTCCAGACACATCCAAATGAACACACACCTGCTTCATGTAGGGTCTCCTTGCTAAGTCTACAAGTCAACCGCATCACACCAGGTGTCCCAACATATTCCACGACGAAGAGGGCGGGTTGCATGACCTTAATACGGGCTCATGAAATCAAGGCGCTCTTTTTGGGCATGGGCAGCACAAAAGTGGCATCTTAACGATCCTAGAAACATCTGATGGTAACTTCCCATCGAACCGCGAGGCTATGGCAATAGTAATCCAAGCTTTATCACCAAAAGAGTTCATCCCCTTCAGGGTAAATAAAACCATAAGATGTCATTCCGTTATTCATGGTGAATGACACCCAAAGACATACTGGTTGGTGGTTTCAACCCCTCTGAAGAATATGAAAGTCGGTTGGGATGATTATTCCCAATATATGGAAAAATAACAGCCATGTTCCAAACCACCAACCAGCATATATGCACTATCCTCAAATAGTGTCAGTTCCCCATTCCGTCCGTTCACAAATGTCATTTCCGTCTGCGGGCCCCCACGGATGGCTTTTCGAACTCCTGCGGCAATTCCCGGAAACGGTTCAAGGAAGCGAAGTTGTTAGTCACCAATGTCACCACTGATCGCATTCTCACTGGCAAACAAAAGGGATGAAGGTCTGGTCATGAATTCATGGCTTTCAGAATTCCGTCATATATCCACCATATATCCACCATATCTGGTATGTATCAAGCCAAGAGACCCTGAAATTAGTCAGAAACCCACCATATATCATATATCCACCATGGTTTTTTGGTTCACCATCCGCCAACGATTGGTGTTGCTGAAAATCGACCGGCAAGCCATCCAAAAACATGTTCTCCATTCTGTCCCAGTGATGGTTCCAGATTCAACCAAAACCCCAAGTTTGAATCACTCAAGGTACTTAAACATTCATTCTAAGTATTCCAAGCAGATATATCTGTTTACATATGTTTACCATGTCCATCCAAAAATCATAAAAACCAGACAACAGTCGTCCGCCCCACTTCCGGTCCTGCTGCAGTTCATCCTCCGTCATTGGGCCATTGCCAAAGAGCAGCGGACGCAGGTCCCGACCCAGGAGTTTCGGCCTGGAGATAGAGAGAGAGGGGAGGAGAGAAAACACGCCAGGGTGAACTCAAGTATGGTTTAAGAATGATCAAAGTATGATCAAAGTGCCTTGAAATATGTTGAAATGTTTTTGTTGGCTTCCAATATCATCTGATTGAATGGCTTGAAAACGAATGTCAATCGAACGGTGGTGAATGGATTAGGCCATGGGTCTGAATGGATCGTGATTGTAGACCTAGCTGCAAATCTATACTTGGTAGTTCGATCCCAAAAGAAGTGGCTTGATGCTCAATATGACTCATATGAGTCATCTGATTTGTAGTTGGTTTTACAACCCCCCTTTGTTCATTGTTCATGCCTCTATCTTCCTATGTTGGAAAAGCTGCCCCTTAAAAGAAACTATCGTGTGGAGGTTTCCTAAATGGGTGTAACCGCTGTAACACCCCAAATCATCCAAATTAGGCCACTTTGGCATCGAAACTCACTGGGGTTTTGGGGGTAGTCCCCCATTTCAAGAACTATCATAGGGGGTTGCCTGAAAATTGAATATCCCGCAAACCCCATGGCTCATCATATTATCCCTGTTAAATGGTTTTAAGATGTGGTATAATTGCTCCAGTTTCAGACACATCCATATAGTTATGGAAGGCATGGCCCATAGAAATGGATGATATTAACGCTGATTTACCTATGACCCATAAACAAAAAACATAACAAAAAATGGAAAAGCCATGAAAAGCCCCAAAAAATCCATGGGGATCGTCCACTGGGCTGGCCCTGCGACGCCAGCTGTTCGCAGCAATGATCCGCCAGGCGCTGAAAGTGAGGCACCTGCCGCGAGTCCGAAACGGATGCAGGACACTCCATGGAGCTCAAATCGATTTTAATAGGTGCTAATGGATGTTAATCGATTTTAATTGATTTGTTTAAGGTATGCTAATTGATCTTTATAGTTTGCTTCATTGATTTTAATGGATTTTGATGGGAATATCATGGGAATGTACTGGGAAGACGCTGGAAATCCCCACACTAGTCATGGAGCCTTCTAGGGGAAAGTCCTGGAACTAAATATAGGGTGCCCCACTGTTGGCAAAAAAATGGGTTTATGACTCCAATACCCTCTGGTAAACGTTTACATAACTATGGAAAATCACCATTTTCAATGGGTAATTCCACTTTAAATGGCCATTTTCAATAGCTATTTTGACATAACCAGAGGGTAGGGTTTATGGTTGATATCTGCTCATGGTGGCTGGAAAATCCCCAATTGAGGTTTCGCTGGGAATATCATCGAACTAAATAGGGGAAACAGCTAGCCACGTTTGATTACCTCTATAAATGGTTGATTTGTGGACTGGGAAAAGCTGAGAAATCGCTGGTAAAGAATGACTCGTGGCTTAAAAAAACGCAGTTTTTTTGGTGATTATAAGCCTGGTTAGCTGGGGAGTTTGGGACGTCATCCGGTCATTTCTTACATAGCTATGGTATAGATGGCCGATTCCGTTCGAGGATTTACCGACCTAGCTATGTGACAGTACCAGAGCGTAGGCTGGGTATCCTATTTTGGACGAAGAAACACCCATGATTTTCCTAGAGTCATCCAAATGTGAGAAGAATACAATTCATGATTATTGGCAATCCTATTGCCCTAATATGACATTCTCCCATTTGGGGCCCCCAATGTTTGATTAGATCCACTCCTAAACCAGGGTGTTCGTTTTGGGGGTTTTAATGCTGGCAGGACGGGATCACTATCATCAGAGCCGCCTGGGAAACTGACCTATTTTCTGCTGACAGAGGATGATCCTCATGTAGCTGTTGTAGCTACAGTTGTGTCAAAATGTGATGGTTGACTAACAACCATTGCAGTTTCCATTCCATTGCGTTTCTTTTTTGAGAGACTCAACACGTGCATGGAAGCTTGCCCACAGCTAGGAATGTTTGGTGTTCGCCGTGGTGCAGGGACATGAGTGCAGTTTTACGACAAGCTATACGTGAACACGTGTGTGTGTGTGTTGTGTGTTGTGTGTGTGTTGTGTGTTGTGTGTGTGTTGTGTGTGTGTCTGTCTGTCTGTATGTCTGTATTATGTATGCCTGCATGCATGTATACATCAAGTATATGTATGTTTTGATATGTATACACAGTTACATGTGTACGAATCCATGCATATGTAGATACATATAACCACGTATAGTGTGTATATATATATGTGTGTGTGTCAATCATGTATGTGATATGATAACGACATGGATTTAGAGATATGTGCGCAATAAATATATATATATATATATGTGCTAGGCTATGTATATATATATATAATAACCTTTGATGCGTCTCTGCGGTTCGCCTGGTCATAGAGGCCTCGCGCCATTCCAAGGTACCTTGTCTTGGTCAAAATGGGATGTGCACCTTGGGTCCTTAAAATTGGGGTATTATACACACGTCAATTGCGGTACAAAACAACTCAAACCAAGCACTCTTCTGGGGACACAATGGAGATATAAAGGAGATATAATGGATATATATATATACCCTCTGGTAATTTAACATAGCTATTGAAAATGACCATTTATAGTGGATTTACCCATTGAAAATGGTGATTTTTCATAGTTATGTTAGTTTACCAGAGGGTATATAGATAGGGGTCTGACGTTTGCCCGAAATCCACGGAATTCCATCCTAAAACAACCGTGAGCAAACCCTAAAACAACGCTAAATAATACGAAAATTAACTAAACAAACCCTAAATAAACCCTAAAGAAAATCTAAACCAACCCTAAGCAAACCCTAAAACAATCTGAAACATATCCTGAACAAATCACAACGTAACTAAACCCCCAATGAAACTTTGGGCGAACGTCCGCCCCGGAGGGATATATATATATAGTGGGGATATGCAATATGAAATGTGTAATTATTCATAGGATGATATCTGGGCTTGGTCCTGCTGAATCTGAGGAAAGTGATCATGAACCATCTTGGGTCACCGGTCACCGCCATAATCAGGACTCAGTACAAGGTGGGGTTACCCCAGTTGGTTGTATATCTTCGCTGCGTTGTAACCCGGATGAATACTACAGTTCTATTTACAGGATGGGGCCCCCAAGATGGCTAAATTGCCTTATAAGTGGCTTAACTATCGTTTATGGTAGATATAACTATAGTTAATGGGGGTTATAATGGTTTATAAACCAACTTATCACTGGGGGGCCCATCATGTACCAAAAATCATAGAATTCAATTAGTTAGTTCACTAAACCAACTTAGCTATCTTTGAGGTGCCCCACCTTGTACTGCTGGCCCAATATTCAATATTCATTTTCATCCCTTTGCTGTTGGTGAAGAAACCAATGTCACCAGTTTTGATGGGGTATGATGATATGATCTGCATCAAATTTCAAATTGGGAATTAGTCGAACTGGTGATATTACCCTCTCATGATGATATCACCTAAACAAATGAAATTCGATGATATAAACCCAAAATATCCAAGATGCTGGCCCCAGTGGAAAACGTTACGTGGACACGGGTCAACCAAAAATACTTCAGTTCACCGAAACTACTCTCAAAAAACTGGTCGATCAAAAGACTCTGAAAAAAAAAATCGATGGAGATCTGGGAAAGAATCCAAAACATATGGGGGGATGAACGTCCATAACATTCATAAATCACCCATAAATCCACCAAAGGATTCCCCTTCTGGGGATGGATACCCATGGCCCTGAGAGGCCGAACTGACTTCCCTGCCCGGGGAAGACGAAAGCCACCTGAATCGTAGCGTAAAATGGCCCATATTGCTGACTCATCTCATTTATGATATTTATGATATTTATATAATATGTATAGTGATATAATCTACTCATATTATCCGTATTGATCAACTATGGCACATCATTTCTCCGGTGATCTACCATGATTTACCTATGAAAAATGATCATTATGCATTTTCGGGTTAAATTACTAGAGGCTAGCTTGGTGCCTTGTTGGTCCGCTACACGGATCATTCCGGGGATGTCCTAAAAATGGTCCTCATCCCCATTTCTGGGTACCACCATGTTGGCAAACATCCTCAATGGTCAAAATCCTGGTACCCTGCTGTCAAAATAGCTTTCAAATAGCTGTTCATCCCTCCAAATCTGGTACTATCAGGTCCAAAAAGCCATCCCGAAATGGAAGAAGCTTTTAACAAACAGACAAAACGACCAACAAATGGATCTGTCTGAAAATAGGTAAACACAAAATCCAGTGGTTCATTGAACTCATGATGTTTCTCCTAAATGATTAAGTATACCCGATTGTAAGACCCAAATATAGCCTTATCGCTGATATTTCCCGTAGAATATTCAATAGAAGTATCCAATACATTGGTAAGAATCATCATCATATGTCCATTGTATTCCTACTTTATATCCCCAGAATACAAACCCAGTAAACAACAAATGCACCCTGTCTTCAGCGCTGCTGCGCACCGGTGGTCGCTTCTTGGCATCTTCCAGTTCCTGAAAAGGCGAACGAACAAACTTGGTGAGTTCAGTGGGTGTGGGTCAAAATTGGGCAAGCCAATCTTTGGATGAAATAGACCAGAAATACCTAGAATTACTAGAAATAGACTAACATTACTAGAAATATCTAGAAATAGACTAACCTCTGTGGTCAAGTCTTTAATTTTGATCCATATCCAACGAACCAAGGTGTTTTTCTCCATAGCCGAAATGGATAAATCACGGGATGTTTGGTGTTGCCGATGTTTGGACAAACTCACATTCTATATGTCTTACAATTTGCATAGAAAACCTTGGAAAAGAGTGGGGCAGCCGCCTCTCAAGAAAAGTATGTCCAGTTGTTCTGAACTCTTTCCTTTTGAAACAAAATATCGGAACACAAGAAGTTTGAGCTGATGACTGCTGAACTTTTCCTGAGATTATTCATGGACTGAGAGGGAAACCAACGGTTTCATTGACCTGAAAATGGCGGGACACGCCCTTAACTTGACCCTTGCCATAGATCTGGACTTGGACCCCACTTTGTAGAGAAATCCATCCTGAAGCTCTGGTTGCTGATTTCAATGCTACTCCGATGGCTCGAAACGACCAAGTTTACATCCAAAAGTAAATTGCTTCACTCTCCTTTTGTTTTAGTTCCACCCTTTATCTTGGTCCATGTTTAACCGCAAACCCAAAACCTGGGATTTGTTTATCGTTTTAGTAGAGAAATTTCCAGTCAGATTCCTCGGATTTTTTTGGGAATGGATAAAGTCAGTTTTACCGCGTTTCGATGCCTCCAATTCTTCCAGGTCCGGCCAAGAGCTCTGCAGAACCTCTGGGGCTGTGTTTTCTGGTTGCTTCGTAAGGCTTCCAATGTCAGTTTAGTATGACCGGATCAACCAGGTAGGAAATCTTCATGACCCAGGATCAACATGAATCAACTGGTTACTGCTTTTGCAATTAGGTGTACCACAGTCAATTTAGTCATCATAACTTTACGACTGCTGTGGTACCTTGTTCTGTGTTCAACGCCCACAGCAAATCATCAGTTTCTATATATATATACTCATTTATATAATGGGTCTTTATAAACCATCAGTTTCTAACACACTCAAAAAGATCCAAAAAAAAACACTAGTTATCACAGTTATCACGGATTTTACATGATGTGACCCCTTTTTTCGGCCTTTGGATCTTGCGTTTCCGCATCTTTTTGGGTTGCCGTTGCGAGAAAACCGCAGCGCACCTCAGCCGCCTTCTGCACATCGTTGCGGCCGCCGGGGACCACCAAGCTCTTGCGCAAGGGAAGCGAAGCGCGACCCGCCTCAGAAATGGAGGTGGTTTGTCCTATGATTTATCATCTATTTATATATAATGACTATTGGTTATTATATGTTATTATCATCCAATGATATCATCTGTTATTATCATCCAACTATTTTATTTATTTATATATATATATATGTTATTATCATCCAATGATAATGACTATTGGTGACTATGATAATCCTATATGATTTACCATCAGTCCCCATAGTTACCAATAGTTAAATATGTTTTGCCATCTATGATTTACCATCCATTTATCTCAATGTTTCATATTCATCTAATAGTTACCAACTGGTGGATTTCGCAACCATCCACACTATTACCAGCCAATGGTGGTTGAGATACGTCCAGAAATGGAGAACTTCACAGCCAAAATTGGGAAATTTTAGGTGATCTGATTCAGAAGAATGTGGGTAAAACAATGTCATTTTTACCACCCATGACTGGGAATGGTAAATATAGGACCTATAAAAATGCTGATGACTGGTGGATGGTGCACATGGCATTGTTTTAACCACATTACATGGATTTCACCAACGATGAAAATTGGTGGCCCTCGCCTGGAGGGTATACGCCACTTTGTCCATGGACTCTCCTGCGTCCTGCACCACGATTCGGTGAAAACATACGGATTTATCTAAGATGAGCATTGGATCATGTTTCCTTTCAAATGGTCCACCTGAGTTGTCTGAAGATATGTGAGATACGCGTCCCCCAAGGTTTTCTTTCCCACTTTTTTGGGGGCCTCAATTCGGGGTTTTCCCGATATGGGTATATGATTTGCATTTTTTTTAGTGGGGAAAATGTTGATAAACCAGACTTGAGGGTACACTACTTGGAGGTGCCGTTCCACTAATAAGTTGTTATATATATCCACTGTCATAGGGGTTATACCCCGACTTATCCGGATTATTGCAATGGTTATACGAAAACATTCAAGTCCTGTACACCACAAGTAGTTGGGTACCACATCTAGGTCCATCAAGCCCAAGCCTAAGATTTCATGGAATTGATGTTAGAAATAGAATTACGGAAGAGTCTTCCCATCATTTTTCTTGGGTCCCATCATAAATTCCAGAAGCAAAATTCTGCGTTTCATGACGGGGTGTTCCCAGTCGAATCATCGTTGCTTCAGCTCCATGGATCCTGAAGTTTCTTGAGAAGTTTGTCTCCGGAGCGATGCAGAGACCCTGCAGACTTCGCCTAAGTGACGGGTATCATGGCTGTACATGATATTTGTGTATAAACATTATACATACATATATATATATATATAGAGAGAGAGATATGTACATATATATATACATACATATACATATATATATATACATTCTTTCTTTCTGGGCGATTTGAAGCGCAGCTGCTGGCCTACGTGACACTTGGAATTCCGATGCAATCTTACTATACATGTGTCTTTGCATGTCTCTGAGGCACAAACTTTGCGATATATATATAATGTATACATATATATATATACACTGATATATATATATATACATACATACAGTGTCCATACATAGTTCCCCCAAAAAGGATCAAAAAGGTAGAAAAATGTAGGAAGATATATATATATGTATACACTTAAATTGTGATTGTAAAAGAAAAAAATCTGCCTTTTTGGTGGTGCTACTGTATATAATGGGGATATGAACCCAAATAATAGGAAGTTATAACCAACAACCAATCACACAAGAAGAAGTCGCAGGATTGACAATTCATTGATCGACATGGAAAGCACTCGCCTACCAGGCTTCTGCTCCCTACTTGGTGAATGAGAACTTGTTGATCCCTTTCTGAAAGATACAGTACAATCCATAAATCAATCCCATTCCAGCATATAAAAGTTAAAATCGATCCTCAAATTTGGAATATTCCAAATATCCTATCCCATTCATACATTCCAATATATATGGCTTACTGATTGTTTATGTGATATGTGCTACCTATCTTCCAAATTATCATCCAAGCTCGGCTTAAAGCCGTGGTTTTCAAGCCATCCCATTCTGACGAGTTTCATTGGGGATGGATCAAGATGAACATCCAATGGATGAACATTCATTCACTCCATTCACCTCTCTGGTATATTGTATATATGTATATATCTAATATGTATATATGTATATATGTATATGTATATATGTATATGTATATATTTATATATGTATATATTTATATATGTATATATTTATATATGTATATATATATATGTATATGTATATATGTATGTGTTATTTGTTCTGTGAAAAATCGATTGGGAAACTTGCCAATAAGCCAATGGTTCATCGCTTCGGTAGAGATCCCCTGGGTGACTGACGGAGAAGGTCAAGAGCTGGAACTCCAAGGGCCTCGAAGATGGAATCAGTGAAGGGGTCGGATGGAATCACTGATTTTTTTGGGGGGGAAATCAGTTTCTGCATCTGGTAATGGAAGATGAACGGAATGCGAATGGAATACGAATGGAATACGAATGGAATATTGGCGATTTACGATGGAATATTGGAGTTATGTAAACGTTTACCAGAGGGATTTCGTCTCTGGCGACAGCCAGAAGCTATGGAAAAAGGTTGGCCCAGGACTTCAGGACATCACTTTTTCCACGTGCCAAGATTTAAAGCGACCTGATGTTGATGGCTATTGATAGGCTATTCATTGCTACATGGCTATATTAGGCAAATATATATATATACTGTATATACATATATATATAATAAAAGTCCATTGCTAGGCTATTGATGGCTTAATTCTAAATCATCACCAACCTTTTTCATAAACACCAATCGTGTAGGTGCGTAAAGCGTATACCTACCACCTTGGACCACGGCTTCTTCGCGCTGCTGTTGATCTCCAATACAGGGGCCACTACCTGCGCAGAGGATCACCGAATACCAGGATGCTGACAGGGGGACGACGAGTCTGGCCAAAATTGGGTATTGGAAGGGTACTGTAGTTGATTGTACTAGGATTATTCTATATATATATATTATGTATATATACATATTATCCTACATAATCATGTGTATATATATATATTACATATATATACATATTATCCTACATAATCATGTGTATATATATATATTACATATATATACATATATATATATATATACATATAATTATATATATACATATAATTATATATATACATATAATTATAATTATATATATACATATAATTATATATATACATATAATTATATATATTTAAAAGAAATGCACCATCAAAGTCCCAGGTTTTTTGGGGTCAACCCCAGCGTGTGCCTCTTCCAGGATCGTGTGTGCATTGGTTCCTCCGATGCCGAAGGAGCTGACGCCTGCGGCTCAGCGCCAACCCCCAAATCAATGGATTGGTTTAAGGGAAAATCGAAACCAGAAACCATCGATTTTTTCCCATGAAATATTGGGTTTTCTTGTAAATGTTTCCCTTAAACCAACCCATTGACCAAAAAAGATGCATAAAAGTTGAACCGTTGAACCATACGAAAACTGAGATAAATTAGTGCTCTGCCTTTTTCAAGGTTACTACGATAAAAAGGATGGTGTGGCGAAGAAAACAAGATATCTTATCGACAGAAGGAGGGGATGTCAACAGAAATATACGTACATCTTATATATATATATGTATACATAAATATATGTATACATAAATATATATATATACTGTATGCATATATATAAATATATATATACATATATAATATACTGTATGTATATATATATACGCACTGTATGTATATGTGTATATATATACATACACATAGTGTATGCGTGTTTGTGTATGGTATAACATATATATATATACACACCGCTGTGAAAGTAGATGGCGCAAAAAAATAAATAAATAGCGACGGTAGATGGTGCAGCCTGGCTGTAAAGTCGCTATTTTTGGCAGATGGCGCGACCCCGAATAGCATCGCTGTTTTTGGTAAATAGCGATTGTTTTCTTTTTTTTGATTCTCACCACATTTTGCACCAGGCAGGGCTACTGCCGGTGGAGCTGCCATCTTCAAACCCAATGCAGCTATATTATTGAAGCAAATGTGGCTCACACACACATACAGTGGTATGCACGCACACACATACACTAACCACGCACTGTACATGGCGCAATTCTCTTTGGGAGGCATCAATGCACACAGCGAGCTGTAAATAACACGATTCACCGGGAAAAACTTACCGAAATTGAGCATTTGACCCAAAATCAAATGCAAACACACACACACATACACTAACTGTGGACTGCAGATGGCGCAATTCACTTTGGGAGGCAAAAAATACAAACAGCGAGCTGTAAATAACATGATTCACCAGGAAAAACTTGCCGAAATTGAGCATTTGACCCAAAATCAAATGGAAGCACACACACACACATACACTAACTGTGGACTGCAGATGGCGCAATTCACTTTGGGAGGCAAAAAATGCACACAGCGAGCTGTAAATAACATGATTCACCGGGAAAAACTTACCGGAATTGGGCATTTGACCCAAAATCATATGCAAGCACACACACACACATACACTAACTTTGGACTGCAGATGGAGCAATTCACTTTGGGAGGCAAAAATGCACACAGCGAGCTGTAAATAACAGGATTCGCCGGGAAAAACTTACCAAAATTGGGCATTTGGCCCTAGATCATATGCACGCAGACACATACACTAACCATGCACTGTAGATGGCGCAATTCACTTTGGGAGGCAAAATGCACACAGCGAGCTGTAAATAACAGGATTCACAGGGAAAAACTTACCGAAATTGGGCATTTGACCCTAGATCATATGCAAGCACACACACATACACTAACTGTGCACTGTAGATGGCGCAATTCACTTTGGGAGACATAAATGCACACAGCGAGCTGTAAATAACAGGATTCGCCGGGAAAAACTTACCGAAATTGGGCATTTGACCCTAGATCATATGCAAGCACACACACATACACTAACTGTGCACTGTAGATGGCGCAATTCACTTTGGGAGACATAAATGCACACAGCGAGCTGTAAATAACATGATTCACCGGGAAAAACTTACCGGAATTGGGCATTTGACCCAAAATCATATGCAAGCACACACACACATACACTAACTTTGGACTGCAGATGGCGCAATTCACTTTGGGAGACAAAAAATACAAACAGCGAGCTGTAAATAACGAGGTTGTTCTTTCTGTGAATGGGTAATGATCCCAAACTTCTAGTTGTAGTCGTTCTTGTTCAAGATCGTTATTGTCTTCTCGGAGAGGCAGCGGACAGCGCTTTTTTTCCATGCGAGCGGCAATCTTCGAGTGTCTTGAGCCAGCGTCGCCTAAAAGTGTGAGTAATGTCGGATTAGCCTGTTGCCTGGGGTATATTCACAATGATATATGAGATACATAGCTTGTTAAGATGGCAGCGGTGGCAATTTTTCTAGCCAGCCTTCAGATGAAACCAGATGTTTCAGTTTAGTGAATTCCTACTGTGGATGGTTGCGAAATCCTGCACCACCTTGGATGGTTGAAACCCTACTTAAATATATATATATATATAATGGGATAAACATGGATAAACCATCAACTGGTGCAGGATTTCACTGGCCCCTAGGCCCATCCACAGTTTCTGAAGAGTTCAATGCATCTTGGTTCGTTCTTCAAGACTTCGGTATACTATAGGACAAGCCTGTCAGACCTCCAAAAGTGGATCACCAGCAAATCCCAATGCAGTGCAAATGAGTGTTGACACCATTTTTCCAAATACCAATTGGATAAATATGTTTGGATAATATATCATATTGATTATATATCATTGATCATAGATCATTGGTAATATATCATTTTCAAAATATAATTGAATCAATGATAATATTTTTGACGGCACCGAAATCGCTCGCCAAATCATTATACTTCACCACGCTTCCCCAAACAGAAGTACCAGTCAATGTCTGTGTGGAGGTTATGTCGTTCATTGAGGTCTTAAGGTTCTAATCAAAACAATACCGGTATGATTAACCCATGATTTTGGGATGCATTGATTTATTTGGATTCTTCCTAAGTCAAAGCAGAATCAATATGATAGGATAAGTGATCATTGATAGTGATGATTTGAAAGGACTTGTACAGTATTGCCCCGGAGGCCATAGAAAAACAAAAAACAGTAGATCCAGGATGATAGCAAAATCAACACTTTTTATACCCCCCAAACATAGCATGGAACCCACACATGGTCGATGGAAGATCATTCTACTATTGGATATGGGCGTATCTGAAAATAGCACCCCAACGGCTATTCTAATAGAAAACATGACCATAAACCACCAAATATTGAGGTAGTTTGTTTTCAAACAAACCCATATGTGCCAGGGTCAAAACATGGGCATGGTGATCCCACCATCATTTAGTTAGCAAAGTCCTGTCTTATCTTTTTCCCTGACCGCCCACTTAATAATACAACCAATTTCTATGGGGTAATGAGGAAAAAGACAGACAGGACACCACATAGGAAATAACAAAATCAACAATATAAATCAAAACAACAAACAACAACAAAACAGAAAACAAAACAACATAAGCAATACAATAGATTATAAAATAGTATATACCATAAATCATATCAACAATAACAAAATCAAAGCAACCTACTACAAACAAAATACAAACAAAAACATAACAACAAAACAACAATAACAACATCCTAACAACCTACTATTAATAAAATCAATAACATATCTAACCATAACAACCATAACAACCTCATCATATCAACCCATCTCATCAGTAAAAATTATATAATATAATCATCATAATTGTATTGAATATTTTTCATCAAAGCATATACAAATATACATCATCTTACCTTATCTATTTCGTAGGTGTTATTTCTAGAAATCATAATTGCTAGAAATATTCCTGGAAAATAATTGCAACATAAATTTAATAGAATTATTTTATCAATTTTTTGGTGATAACCAACATAATTTTCATAATCATTTATTTTGAAGATTATGGGATTATTTACCACAGTCTCCCCCTATAGGGGAAGCCTCAGCCCCCAGCCAATATACTATCCCAACCCCCAGCATACATACAAACTAGCATATCACAACAGCATCACATCTTTCTCAATCTCAAACCTCTTTCATTACCGCAATTACCATGCCCAAACCGCCCTTCATGAACTTGTTGATAGCCATGTCTTCTTAACCTCAGCGCCAAGCAAATGGCACTGCCATCCAAACTTTTGGGGAAATGGAGTGAAAAGGATTGTGTCCGTCCATACTTGTTGGTGCCAGTCCTGTCAAGTATATGGGAGGTTTTGCCTTGTTGTCAGGCATGAATGCGCTGAATGTCAAGCTTGTGAAGGCTCACTGGCATGAATGCTCTATTGAAACCATGCCTACCTACATACAGAGCTTTTCAACCATAAAAGGATGTGCTCAGGGCACTGTTGTGCAAGTCGCCCTGTTGGCGAAGCAAGCCTTCTCACGCGCCTTCTTCGTCACCAAACTTGGCGAGCAACTGGCGTGATGAAAGGGATGCCTGTGACTCTAATGACAAATTCGCCGGCGGCGACATGCAGGCGGTGTCGCTGCATGAAGTTGTCCCAGCTCATGTTGTGCGAGGCCCGCAACGCCTGTGCTGTTGGTGTCTGTAGCTCCAGAACTCAATGCAAGGATGATGAGGCAAGCGACAAAACGGATTTGCGCCATGAACATGCCGACACCCCTAAGCTAAAAAGCGTGCCCGAGTGTTTGAGGAAAAAATGCTGAGAAATGACACAAACTTCCAAGCGCAAAGTGAAAGAGCTAATTTCTGTAGCTTTCCAATTGAGAATGTCAAAGATGCTCAAATTGAAACAAATTCCAAGGTCAAGCTCTCCAAGATGTGGCGTGAAACCTCCAACTGACATTCTCAACAGCTGAGCGCCCCGACAGGATGAAGAAGAGATTGATGACGAAGCCAAGGCGGGGCAGAAGGACAAAGGAACATAGAGTAATCCCAGCCAATGACCCAAACGTGCCAAACACAAATTCGTGGGGAAAAACAAATGAAGGACAAAACAAAAAAAAACGAAACCAGAAAACAGCACATCAAATCAACCATCTCATGGTTACATCAATAGGCGTGAGTATGGGAAAAAATGCTTACAAGGCAGTCTAAAAACACTAAATCTTTAAAAGTTCATGCATGCCTCATCAACAATCTTGGGTAATCAGTCAATTTGTAATATTTTTGGTTCAACTTTTCTGCAAGATCTTGCACAACATAATAACCTTTCAGCCAGTGGGAAGTTCTTTCTTTCTCTGTAATTGCTTTCTTTCTCATTATCTTTCCTTTGTCTCCCACCTCTAATGTTGGATACATCCGTTCCTTCTTTGCTTTTACTGAAACATTAAGTTTTGCTTCAAACTCATTCCTTTCTTTCCTTGCTTCATCTGGAGTTAGTCCAGTAGCACTATGGACGTCCTTGTTGTTGTATGTTAGTAAAATCTCGGTTATGTAATCTATCCATTGTACATTATGTTTTCCCTTTTTCTCATCATTCTCAACCCGTTTAAATAGTTTATCCTTAAACGTCCTAATAAATCTTTCAGCGAAGGCTGGATGACCTCTATAAAGTTCAATCCCTTCATCTTCTACTAGTTGTTTGGAGTCAGCACCACTTATACTACCTTCATCATCAGTGTATATGATTTTTGGTTTTGCCCTCATCTTTTCTAGCCCTTCCATTGTTCCAGCGATGACATCGGCTGGGTTTTTGCTTTTAATAGGGACTACTACAGCATATTTACTTAATACATCAATCATTACGAACCCAGCTCTAAACTTTTGTGTTGCTTCAATATCATTTTTTGAAATGAAAAACAAATCAAGTTGAAAAGTATGGTTATTGTGGGGGGCTACAAAACTGTTCTGACCCCTTTGCTTTCTCTTAATCTCAACATTCTTTCTAAAAAAATATTCAACATCTTTCATAGTAATAGTTTTATCTTTCTCTCTGGCATCTTTCAAAGTAGTAGCCTTGCTTCCATAGCCACTTCTATCAAAATAAATATCACTAATAATCGTCTGCTTATTATCAGCCATTATATTTATAATGAATTTTATTTGAAAAAGCACAATTACACTGAACACACAAGCCTATACAATTATCCTTGAAGTGCGAAGTGCTACAATTAACCCTTTGGCAACTAATATTTGATGAAACCTTGCCATCTTCAAAATCTATCACTAATGGTTCATTACAATTTTCACACTGGGTATTCATCAGGTTCATCAAGAAATCTACATCTACATAATTTCCATCTTCTACATCTCTACCTGCTTTCTTATCTTGCTCTTCATAGTTCATAATTTTATTCCTAAAATATGTATCTACTCTTATCTTACTCATATCCTTCTCATCAACATCATATTTATAAAACTTAACTCTATTTAAATCTCTGGCTCTAGTAATTGCTGTCCAATACCAGTTCTTACTACAATACGTACCATTTACTCCAATCATATATCACAATGTCATCATCCACTGAACAGCCTTGTTTGCTGTGGCAAGTGTAGCAGTAAGCATATATAAAATGCTTTCTTAACAACTTCAGTTCTATCCTTTGCTTCTCATTTGTAGCCACATTTTCTAAAACCACATCATTGCCAACAATATTCACAATCTTAAATTTAAAATTCACATTAAATGTCTTGCCTTTAGTCTTGATATATTTTCTACATATGACCTCCTCACCCACAACATATTCATCTTCTATGCCTTTCATCTTTCTCATCTTACTACTCACTTCTCCACAAGTTTTATTTGTATAAGCAATGTTGTTTTCACATATCTCATTGCCTTCACTCCATCCAAAGTATTTGTCAATAATATTAAGTATAGGTTCATTGTTCATAATCATACTTTTAATATCATAAAGGTTCTTTCTATCTTCTTCATTGTTCAACCTCTTACATTCGTAAAGCATAATATTATTTTTAAAAATCAAATCAATACAATGATTAGCATACTTCTCAAATGAAACTACATTGCTTACCCTCTCTGGGTTTTTCAACTGGTTAGTGTCTCCAGTTGCCACTACGATTTTATCAGGGTTGTTCTTACAGAAGTCCCATATCAAAACCCACTTGCCCACATTATGAAAATATATCTCATCAAACACTATGACATCACAACCGGAATAATCAAACTTCTCAAGCCTCTCATCACCATAAGATATACCAAAAAACTTATTAATGGTCATTGCTTCTGCTCCGCATTCCTGTTTTAAATTATTAGTAGGCACAACAAATAACACTTTATAATTTCTCTCCTGTAAATGCTTACATATATAACTCTTACCTGTTACCGGCACATCACCTCTATATAATCATCAACCTTTTATTATTCAAAATATGTTCATCTATGATTTCATCAGTGTTCCATTCATCCTTCACTTCACCAGTCATATTAAAATATTCAGTTATATCGCATAATACACTGAGTTTCTTACAAAATGTCTTGCTGGGAAAATTGAATTTATCAGACCACCTCCATTCACCAATCTCACTACCAAACTTCAACACCTCCTTTGCTTTACCCAGATTACATTTGTCAATCACAAAGGCATCAGTTTTTACTGAATACACCATTACATCATCTCTCATAAGTGTTTCATAAGCCTCATTCATATCAAAATTATGATGTTGCAAAATCAGTTCTTTGATAAACCATGATAAACCGATATCCGTTGCTCAAGGTTTTTTGTATCAGAAATGATTCTATGAGGGACCAAAATGAGGATTCAGTCGCCTGCTCGGATGGGAATCTTCGCAGTCCATTGGCACACCTGGAGTGCATGGATCCAAGCTGGTCGAAGCAAAAAAGATATGGTGGTGTCCTAAAATATGGCTACCCCAAATCATCTACTTTAAGAGGATTTTCCATTGTAAACTATCCCAGATATGGGGTTTTCCCATTTTTGAAAACCCCCAGATGTGTTTTTTTTCACTTCCGGCCCACCTCGGAATTCACGAAGAAGGGCGTGTTTTGCCTCAGACGAAACATCATGAGCTCTCCACTTGCCTCGCGGAAAATTTGACGGCCCCAGAGCAAAATGGATAATATACATATAGATATATATATATACAGTATATACATACATACTTTGGTTTGTCCAGTAGACGGACTCCATGGTTGAAATCCTGCCATCCACTGAGTCCACTGAGCATCCCAGCAGATTGATCTTGGGATTCAGCTCATTGAAATTGGCCGTTGGCACCTGGGGATAGTACTCGCAGGCCACGAGTGGTGACCCATTCGTGACCCAGGTGACCGCCTCATTTTTTGGGGGCTGAAGCCCAAGCAAAACGGCCATTGTCGGCTTGGTGGGTCATCCACATTTTTTCAACCCCTTGAAAAATGCAGCAAAGTAAGATCCTACTAAGAAAGAGTGATCAATTACTGACAAAAGCACTTTAATTCTATCTGTTTTCCCATGATATTTCCATGATATGTTCAATATATCCCCATTATATCCTCATTATATCCCATGACATGTTCATGATATTTCCTATCCCATATTTCCATGATATTCTCAGTATATTTCCACTGTATCCCCGCCACGCCACTGAGCCCAGGCCAGGCTCCCCGGCCAGGCTGCGCGCACGCATCATTGCCAGCGCCTGCCAAGCGGAATTTTCCAGGGACAACAAATCGGGATACACTGAGAATAGAATGGGAATATGGAGATAGAACCGAGATATAATGGAATATAAATGAATGGAAATATAATGGAGTAGATGCAATGTAATGGGTACTATACTGAAATAGAATGGGGTCTACAACAATTGAAAGACTCTATATCCCTGAAACAATGGTTGCTTAATGGGGATTCCTGATAATCCTCAACATGGAAAGGGAAGATTAATACGCCTTATTTCATGACTGATCAACCGGGGTCTACTGATCTAAAACTAGCCTCCTAATCAAACATGGCTTGCTGGAAAATCCACCATTTATAGTTGATGTTCCATTGAAAGTCCATGTAGAATCGATGTTGAATTACCATGTTTGATTGCTGGAGGGTAACCATAAAACTGAGCATAATAAACGAACAACTTCGTTATGACCTTCGCATCAGTCCCCAGCTTTCAGGAAGATAAACTGGTCAACTCATCAATTTTGCGAATGTCAAATCCCTTGTTGCTTCAACCCCTGTCTTTGCCACTTCAACCCCGTGTTGAGCACTGTGTGTGTTGCTTTACTTCCCAATTGCGGTGTGGTTCGCTTCTTGTGGCATTTTGCCCGTGTTGTTGCTGCCCATTCAAAAGGGGCACCTCCAGAAGTGGCAACTGCAAAATTCAACAAACGAAATGATGATCAGCACCTTTTTGGAGGGATACCCTCCAGTAAATTGACAATGACACCGAAAACCCGTTCTTTCTGAGAGTTTCCCGAGGATGTGATCTATATATATACATATTTATATCTATCTGTATGTATGTATATATATATACGGATATATACGGTGGATTTTTCATAGGATCTTGATGGATTTTTGTCCTAAAGTCATGGGGTGTACCCCTAGTTGTCATCCATGTTTTGAAGGATTTTCCATGAAATAAACCAGCTATTGGGGTCCAAACCTATGGAAAGCCTCGCGCCTTGATGAGCCCAGTGGCGCCCGCCGCGCAGTTGGCATGAGCGATGTTGCCCTTGACCGAGCCCAACCTGCAGAAGTGGGGATTTGAAGCATCAAAAAATGCGAGTTCAACCTGTAAAAATCCGAGAACTGATGATTTTTTGCCAAGTGAAAATGTCGAGGTTTCAACCATCAAGCATTAAAAAAATAGTTTAAAAAAATAGTACATAGTTGTACCATTGAAAATTGACGGCCCTACGGCTGAAATCCCAGAGAAAAATGGCAGAGGAATACAATTTCTTGGGTTCTGCATCTTGTTTGTCGGGCACACACAACTATGAACCATTAAACACTGTTTCTTGACGAATAGTCTCATCTGTTTGTTGGTCCTAGCCCCTCGTTTATTGCTAGCTGCAACACAAATCCTTTGTTGCTCAAAATCATCTCATGCACCCTCTGGTAATCATACATAGCAATGGAAAATCCTAATTGATCGATCATTTTCCAAGCTAGAAACCTCCATGTTTAGCGGATCTCAAATTGCTATGTTTGACTATCTGATGTAGATTTAAAAAAAAAACTCATGCCATTGCTGTCAATCATGTAATTACACAACACATAATCCCCATATGGATGTGTGTGTGTGATATGCAATATACAAATGATATCAATAAAGGCATAGTATATGTATATACACATACTCATACGTACATCACTCAAAATCAGTGGGGAAATAAGGAAGAAATAAAGCCACCTACCAGTATAAGTATAATTACTTTGCGAAGGCAATTCAAATACTATCAAATATTGTATGTATTCTATATATCTGACTGAATTGTAGTTGGCCATTTGAGGATGATTCCCCTTACCATCATTCCGGTGACATCAAATTGAGGTCATTATAATCTATCCAGATGTATATATATATATACACATATAGTAGCAAATATATATATATAATAGCATATATATATATAATAGCATATATATATAATAGCATATATATATAATAGCTTATATATATATAATAGCATATATATATATATGTAATAGTATACATATCACCAAATCTCACATGGAACAAGATCCCATCACAGCGCTTCGAGGCCCCGTCGCAATGCTGGGCATGTCAGCTGTCACCTGGAATCTCAACACAAAAAAAACTAAAAATGAGAGCAAACAACCAACAAACATACATATCCATATCCATACACATCATACCCATACCCACCCATACCCATACACATATACATATAATTGGGATGTATACCAATAGGTTCAATTTGCTGACATAGCTGAGAATTGTGTGTAAATTAAGTGGCCAACATGCGCAGATTGTCACTAACCAAAACTGAGAATCACTGGTCAAATCTATGGAAGATGTGTACAGTATGTGCCGTACAAATGGGAGCTGTGTATTCCCAAGAATATTCCCAAGAGCCCATCGAGTGTCTAAGCAAGTGAGGTACATGAATATGAATCGCTTGCTGGGCAAAACAGAGGTACTCTATCCGCCCTTGGAAAATTCAAAAAAGACACTGGATTCAAGCCACAGGAACCGGGAGATCTGAGACACAATTTTTGGATAAGAAAAGCCGCTGGAATTTGATGCAACATCTGAAGAACAGGTTAACCTGGAAGATCTGCGTGAAATCCCTAAAATTGGCTTAGAGCTTTTGACTCCTTGCGCAAAAACATCAAGATACATGTATGCGTGTCTTTATATATACATGTGTATGTCTTATATATATATACGTATGTATATTAACATATGTGTATACATATAAATAATGTGTATATATATATACATACAAATAATGTATATATATATAGTGTACATATATACATATAATGTATATATATAATGTATATATAGTGTGTATATATATAATAAATATATATATATATACAATGTATATATATAATGTATATATATAATGTGTATATATAATGTATATATATAATGTATATATATAATGTATATATATAATGTATATATATATATGTATATATAATGTATATATAATGTATATATAATGTATATATAATGTATATATAATGTATATATAATGTATATATAATGTATATATAATGTATATATAATGTATATATAATGTATATATAATGTATATATAATGTATATATAATGTATATATATAATGTATGTATATATAATGTATATATAATGTATATATATAATGTATGTATATATAATGTATATATATATAATGTATATATATAATGTATATATATAATGTATATATATAATGTATATATATATAATGTATATAGATATAATGTATATATATAATGTATATATATAATGTATATATATAATGTATATATATAATGTATATATATAATGTATATATATAATGTATATATATAATGTATATCTATAATGTATATATATAATGTGTATATATAATGCATATATATAATGTATATATATAATGTATATATATAATGTGTATATATAATGTATATATATATAAATATAATGTGTATATATAATGTATATATATAATGTTTATATATATATAATGTATATATGATATATATTATATAATGTATACATATATAATGTATTTATATATATATATTTGTAAGTATATATATTATGTATTACAGTATACATATATCAAGGTCCAGCAATCTTCCGAGAAACTCCATCCATCCCCTATCAGCCTGCTTTCGTCCACCCAGCGTTTCGAACGCGCTCAAGAGCCCGTGAACCTGTCGCACTTTCGAACGCCCTACCCTTCGGGAATCAAAGATGGCTGGGAAATCACCCCAATGGGCATATCCCATGGTTGATTGCGACTGGCTGAGCAAATGATGATGCCAAATATGTGGAAAACCCAAGATGTGTAGATATATGTAGATCCTTTTCCTTGGGAACCAGCCACGGACTTCCATACCGGATTTCCATACCTATGTCAAATGTACCGGAGGGTAATTCACCGACCTTAAATGTTCGGTGAGTTTGGACCCCTTGTGAACTATCGGAACTATGCCGAGGTCGACCTTCCGCATTGGTTCAGGATGGGATTTCAAAACACTGGGTGCCCATGATATCCCATGATCATCCAAATTCCTTTGAAACAATTCTCAAACAAAGGCCCAATTGAAGCCAACCTCCCCCTGTCCCTGATAGCATTGGTGTATAACCACATCATATCCTACCTAGTCGTCACCCATTGGTGTCCAAGCCAAGGATTCATCAGGGGCGCACGTCAAAACGGTCACGAAAAAAGGAGATTTTTTGGGGTTTTCGTGGGTATAACACGAGTTTTTCCCTTCATAACTTTCCCACAAATATCTGTAAATTTATTGTTCTTTATAGCTCCACAAATCTGGAGATTACGGAAGAGCCTTGGGACATCACCTCCGCCCGCTGCCTCAATCCCATCACCAATGCGGGTGCCAGTGCAGTGGCACTCAACGTAGCTGATGGACCAGGGATCCTCTTTCGTTGCCCAGGAATAGGGGGAACAGTTGCACTACAAAAATGAGGTTCTTTGAAGCACCAAATGGTGTTATCAAGAAGGGGGTTCAAAAACTGGACTGCATCATCCCGAGCTTTATGAGTGCCCAAGATTGCCGTAGCAACGGGTGGTGGGTTGCTCACAGGTTATCCACCAGTGGTCCCAGGTCCCAATGGAATAACTGCAGAATCGTCTGTGGAGACCATATGGGTGAGAAAAATTGGACAAAATGATGATACTCCAGAATTGAGGCTATCTCATTTTCAAACCAGCCCATATGTATATGGTATATGTGTTTTTCATATGCACTGGGTAAAGTCAAATTCAACCATCTGTGGGCCCCCCACCCCCATACCAATCACCTTGCAAAAGATTTCTGGCCCTTCTGGATCTGAAAAAATATGGTTCAACTGTTGGGTTCAGGATCTCAACCTTCGTAACTCACACCAAAAGAAAAAAAAGGCTGATCGCCTTCCACTTTTTGGGAGTCTCTAAGACTTTCCCAATTTCTTGGTAAAGTTCTGCTATTTCCGATGCCGCCGGATCACACACCTCCCCATGGTCCTCATTCAACATGCGCATTGCCACCTGCACTGCTCGTGCTTGCCCTGGGCAACGGCGTCCATTCACATGGCTGAGTTTCATGCCCATCCTCCCATGGGAAATGATCATCCCAAACTCGAAATAAGATGATGCTAAGTCCCATAATAAATGTCCAAATAGTATGGAAATATAAAATAAATTATATAAACCAAATTTGGGATGAAACCCAGACTTATGGCAGCTAAATTGCCCCCATTTACGGCGTTGGGACCCAGACCGGTGCTGGAAGGTGCAGCATACCCAGCCTGACACTGACGCTGATGGCATTCGGTGACATTCAACGACTATTACGAGGGTTCGGGCATGGATGTATCTAAATTCCAAGCTGAAATTCGATCATTGCAACCTAACATTGGGAGTGTTCAGACATGCCCCGCCAGTGCGGTGAAATGCTCAAGTTTCACAACCTTACGGTAAGGCCCCGAAACGGAAGATGTCAACGTTAGTTCTTTTGAAGCGCATGAATACTATGCTTATTACATGGTTATTATACACCCAAAAAAAAAACTATAGTTATATCATACGCCCTATTAGCTATAGTCATATCACTCATGAAGCCAAGTTAACCAACCTGTTTGCATCAACTTAGCTCTCGCTCGGGGGCCTCACCTCGAATTTCAACTGGTAACCCTGGTGAAGAAGTCGACTTGAGTCGGGCTAGTTCATCATCTGTGCACATAAATAGATATGGCAACTAAATAAACAAACAAAATCAAATCAATAGATGAATTTATATATTTATTGACATCTATATATATATATATACATTTAATTATCTATTTAAATGATAGTAATAGTAATAATAGTAATATTAAGCCTGAGTTGTAAGTCATGGCCCTGTTTTCATCGTTAGCCCTCCGCTGACCTTTTGCGCCCCATCATTGCTGATGGCCTTGGTCACAGCGAGATGTGATTTTCTTCAACTGTTGGTCGTTACATATACATACATACATGTGTATATATATATATATGGCATAGGGTGTATTGAGCACCAAAAGAGTGGTGTCTGAAATTGGCATCTTAAGGGAGCTGCCTATTTTCAGATAAAGCCATATGTGTGATAAGCGCTAAAAATGTATGTAATTGACCCCCATGTTCCTGGTTCAAAAGCTCTTTTTGCAGATGGACATGTCAATTTGGGATAAATCCCCATGTTTTGTTAGGCTAAAATCTCACTTGCTCACCATTTTCGATGTTTAAATTCCAATTTTTCAACATGTTTCATGGTCAAAGCTCCATTCTTGTGGACCAACCCGGAACTTTTGGACCTTTCGGACCAGGGTCGGTTGCAGTATCGCCTGATACCACCTGGTTTAAGTTGGTTCAAAATCATTGCCCCCTAAAATAGATGCGTTTGGAGAATAAAACTCATCCAATCCTTGGGTTCTGAGCCCAGTTGCGAGCAACAAAGAGAGCCCATCTTTCACCATCCAAATCCAAAACTGACTCCCTGCCCATGCGGGTTCCTTCCTAATTCGGGAGAATTCCCACAACGAGACTGGAGTAGCTGGGATTTATGGCTGTTCATTCCCCAAATATGCAACGAAAATAGGTAACTTGATTCGATCCCAAGATCATTTCCCGATTCCAGTGAGGTGTCGACATGCCCGGTGCCCGGTGTATGCGGGTACGGCTCTGGTAAACTAGATGGTCAATACCAAACAAAAAGCACCAAATCGGTTGAGTGCCCGAAAATCTGAACCAAAACCATAAGGCTTTGTCCGAAAAGGTGGGAAAAAAATAATGCAAAACCTGATTGTTCATCCTTTTCCCATGTAAAATTGAGATACCCTCCGGCAATCAAACATGGCAATGGAAAATTACCCATTTATAGATGACGTCCCCACTAATTATGGTGATTTTCCATAGCAAACTGTTACATTACCAGAGGGTATCCCCAAAATAAGATCCCAAAATCCTCGACGTTGAGGATGAGCACCCCTGACCCAATGTTTCCCCAAGGTTTCCCCACGTAGCCCTTCAGGGCGGCATACGCCAGGCCATTCTCCCCGACGTCCTTTGCGGCACCCGCTTAAGCATGGGGACTTCACACGGTAAAAAGCCTCGTGTTCAATCAGATCCATATATCCATATATATATATTCACATATAGTTATACATCAATTGATATACAATCATCCATATATCATATGTAATCATGTATATCGTATATCATAATCTATCATAACAGTATATATATATATGATAGATCATAATAGATTATAATATATATATATATATCTATATATAAAATAATCATAGATATATATATATATACAGTATAATATGTACAGTAATCCTGCATACATATTTATATATATATATATATGGTATATATTATATATAGTGAATGATATCACCATAAAGCGTCCTCGTGGCGTCGCAGCACCAGCGCCGCCACCGCATCGCCGAAGACCGTCCCGTCCGCCTTGGCGTCGAAGGGTCGCACCTGGCCGATGGGGCAGTGTTGTCGGTGCCGGGGAGTTCAACAAATAAAGCTGAAGGAACTTGGAAATATCTTGGAAAATCTTGGAAAAATCTTCGGAAATCTTGGAAAATCTTCGGAAATCCTGGAAAATCTTCGGAAATCTTGGAAAATCTTGGAAAAATATTGGATTTGTTTGGGAAAATCGTGGGAAAATCTTGGAAATACATTGGAACAGCTTTTAAAAGAATATAAAGAAGGGGAGCAAAATAGTAAATAAAAGAAAATTGCAGGCAGAAGACCGGCAAGATGGTATGAGTTTGGGAGAGATAATTTAAAATAAAAATGATGGGTTCTGGCAAAGACATGAATGCTGCATGCTGCATGCTGCAACATGTTTGGTGATGATCATGATTATCGAAGAGGATCTGGGGATTTTCAGACGTTAGTCCAAGAAAACATGCTATGCGTTTTTGTTGAGTTGTTGATCGTTTGATCCGAAAAATTGAGGTTAGAATCCAAGTCAATGGCATCAACATCGGTTGGTTAAAAATGCAAAATGTGGGAAGTTTTAGATGTCGACATTTCAGTGTTCAATCCATGTACATTTGCATGCAATCCAAAGAATGTTCATTTTGTGAACCATGACAGTGGGCCCAAGGTTCCAGCAATAAATATGTGTTGTGTGCAGTTCACAAGAGCACAAATGGTTCCAGGGCCTAGGTCAAAAAACTTGTAACATGGTGAACATCAAAATAGATGGCAAATGGATGTTTGAATATCCCCCAAATATCATATCACGGTTCTTTAACTCATCCCTATATATATATATATACACATACATACACACATACATATATATATATATATACATACATATACATATACATATATACATACGCAGTCCATGTTCAACCCCAAAGTGATTCGATTCAAATCTATTGAAATTCCCCAGTGAGATTTCTCGGTTTTTTCAATCGCCCCATGGAGATTTCCATCTTGGACTCCAGCATAGCCGTCCACGGAACTCACCAAGCCATCCGCATAAAGATACCTGCAAATGGGGCCAGATGGGGGGCCATACGGGGCCATCAAATGTCAGTGCCAAGTCCTGAAGTGGCAGATGTGCTGGTGCAAAAAATGTTGCTGAACTCCACGTTTGTTGCTTGCAAACGGCTGTTCAGGAGCTCCGGGCTGCTAGATACCTGCGAACCATTTGGTGGTTCTGGTTTCGGGGGGGCGGGCAATAACATCCAGTGTCGGACAACTGGATCCATCTGTTCCCGGATCTTTTTGCAAACCTGGTTCATCTATAAGCAGGTCTAAACCCAAAACAGCTCACCCTCGAACCATCTGTCCCAAAAACAAAATACGCAAGCATTGGACATCTATATATACATATATATATATCCTGGTTATGTAGCCACACTTTTCATTTTGGTGTTCCCTATCCTTAAAGCAACAACGGAAAGTTGCATTTTTGAAAAACTGTACAGAACATCCAGCACTGTCCTGCTTTCTTTCCACTTTGTGCACATGCAGTGTCATTGCTAAATTGCATCTGGTGCATCTACCCCATCATGTGGGGCATAGCTTTGGCTTCTGTCAATTCCTGGATCATTCATCTCATTCTGGCTTTCAAAAGATCTTAAACCTATGATGACAGTTGACTCAAATAAAAAGTTAGTTCGTAATGTGTGGAAAGATCACCAAACATGAAAACGGTGCAAAAGCCACTATGTTCAACTCATGACCTGTCCAAACACCTGCGTTTATCCAAAGCGACACCGTGGAGTTGGGGGTTGGACTACTTTCCTCGAAGGCTGATCCGCAAGATCCGGCCATTGATGTTGGAACGGTAAATCAACTCATTATATATATATGCGTGTATATATATATTATATTATATTATATTATATTATATTATATTATATTATATTATATATATACATTATATTATATATATTATATATATTACATATTATATATATATTACATATTATATATATATGGGCATGATATGGTACAGGCAGGCCGTCACGCGTGGCCGTCAACAATGTGAGGCTAAAAACAGTACGCTGACCATTTTCAGCAAAGTCCATAGTCCCCATGGCATGGACATCCCAGCCATCCAGCCCCCTTTGGCGTGAAAATGAACCATGTTTTGGCCATGGCACTGGTGATTAAGAACTAGATGGATCATAATGATAGCAATATACGAGTGATCAAACTGATTACATCATGATACGATAAATAACATGTGCATGCATTTGCATCTTCCAAAATATCCATAGGCGTTACAGCTGATCTTTTTCCATTCAGAGATGCAGGAGACAAACATCAAATGGTGGATGTGTGAAAAAACTATCTGGATAAAATCACAATAGTTCACTTACCCTCCAGTAAATTAACATAGACCCTGGCAGATGGGGGTTGGAAGACTAGTTTCCACTAAAAATTGGTCATTTTCAGCGTCTATGTTTATTTACCATAGGGTATGTGAAGCAAGGCCACCTTGGGATAGTTACCACAAACCTAACGCAAAAAAACGCAATGCTGTGAGGTCGTTCTAATTCCTCCAGACTTATCCTATGATAATCCCACCAAAAATGCACATGTATGGTCGATTCAGCATTTTGATGTTTCAATCCCATATGGTACCCTCTGGCAATTTATCGTTACGGAAAATCAACATCTTTAAGAGATGCATCCATAAATCATCCATAAATGACCCCACGGCTTCGCAAAGCGTTACCCCTCTGGTAGTTACACCAGCCTAACCCCAGCTGGGCCCCTGACCCCAAGTTCGGGAAGGTGACCGATGAAGCTCCAGCTACAGCCGCGTCCTGGTATTCTTTGCAGATTCGGCATGTCATTGATTTTTGCTGGTTGAATCCGATTGCCAAATCCGAAGTCTCCATGTTAAACATGGCGAAAAAAAACAGTGTTTGTTGCTGAAATCACGTGTTTGTTCTTGCTGAAATCACCTGTTTTTGATGGATTTTGATGGTAAATCCGGTGAAATCACCCGTTTTTCTTCGTGAAATCATCCCTTTTGCGGCTGCGGCCCCAAAAAACCCTCCGCTGCTCCGAGTGCCGGACACATTGCCCTGCCACGATGGCGGAGGCTCCCTGCACCACCGCCACCAGTGCTGAGCTACAAGCCGAGTTCACCTGAAAAAACGTTGGGAAAGCTATGGTAAAAGCAAGCAGAAATGGTAAAACCACATGGAATATGGGGATGGGTCAAAACCCTATCCCCCTGGTGAACATCAAAATAGCTGGTAAAGGATGTTCATCCCCCTAAAAATGGTATGTATAGGTATTGATCCATAGCCATATATCTGGGATACACTTGGGATATTTTAAGATGGTGAAACCATCCCATGATAAAATTGGGGTTGATGATTGCTTTACTAACTGGGGAATTATGGTGTTCTTGTTGTTTTGAAGGGAATCATAGGGATTTTTGTTAATGATATGATGGTGTATGGAGATTTGATGGGGGTGTTTATTGACTGGTCTTCTCATGGAATTGTATGGGAATTGTTTTGGGAAATATGTTGTATATAATCGCAATATTTGGGAGATAATTATACACTTGGGACGGACATATATGTATGCATAGGTAGATATTATATAACCACTAATCCGGGTACATCATTGAGGCATGGAAAATAGATGGCGTAAAGTGCGTAAAGGTAAAACACCAACCATAAACAAATCATATCTTGGTTGCTGAAATTCCCAAATTAAATCCCCAATTTATCCGCACAAATCCCATATGAATCCTCGTAAAATCTCCATAAAATCCTATGAAATCTCCACCAATCATCATGAAATCCCTACAAAATCACATTAACATCCCCATCAAATCAATTAAACAAACTCCATATTAACCACCATGAATCAGCACAAATCCCATAAAAATGCCCAACTCTCCAACATGGTTTTCCCACTATGTCTATAGCTTCATAGTGGCCCAGTGGCATTCATGGAGGGCCCGGTGAAGTCCATGAGGTACGACACGCGTGTTGCAATGTAGTCCTGGAGGGACTCTACCTGGTAAGTGAAAGAAATGGGGATACAGTGTATGAATAAATCTAATATTATACATATATATATATATGGTACCCAAAAAAAAAACCTACCTTCTCATCACTTTTACTGGTATTTGCGGTGTTTCGTGTTTATTTTTTGGAATGGTTTTGAATGGACAATTTTGGAAAGTTTTGGGTATTGGTTTTCCCTCTAGGGGGTACCATCTATATATATATATACATACATACATACATACATACATACATATGTGAATACACACACAGAGGGTAGTAAGCAGAATGTTGATTTTGATTCTTCCTTGTACTTAGGGCATTCTGCATTCTGAAGGAATGCAATGCATTCAGAATGCATTCTTTGCAAAAACCAAGATCCAAGATTCCCACAAGACTCCTGAGGAAAATCTTGGATTCCCAAAGAATACTGATAGGGATTAATAAGGCTATTCGGGCAAATCCCAAATCCAAGATTTGCACAAGACTTCTCCGCAACTCTTGGATCTTGGATCTTAGTTTTGGGGAAGAATGCATTCTGAATGCATTCCTTCAGGCTGCAGAATGCCTAAGTACAATTCTTGCAATCTTAGTTCGTACCCCTTCCAAACTATGTCTTAAGTATAGTTTACATTCATTTACGTACCTCCAAGTACCCCAACCTCTGTGCAAAGTTTCCCGTAAGTAGTGATTCAACCCACATAAAAAAAATCATTCAACTTTGGGTATTTTCCCCAAAGCTGAAAAAGGCAGTGAAAACACTGTAAATGACTACAAGAGATGATCAAACATGCATCCTTCTCTTGAAGAACCAATTCTAAGTGACAAGAGCAGGCTTTACAAACAGACACTTTCATTCAAAGGGTGTAGCATTCCTTAAGCAAAAAGAGTATTCCTTTTCAATAGGTAGCATTCCTTTGCAGAAAGCCACTTCTCTTGAAAATATATCTCTTCAGGTCGATCAATCAGTGGCTTTTTTCCAACATGTAAATATGCATGCTTAATTCACAGACCCATTTCATAACTTACTAAGTACAATACTTCTGGAAGGAAGAAACACGTTGCACAAACAGTCCCTGCAACATACAAGGCATCTTCCAATCAAATGTAGTATCTCTTCAAATCAAATAAGACTATCTTCAGAAATGTAGCCATTACTTTGAAGAACATACATATTTTTCTCTAAGTGACACTATATTTGTTGAAAAACAAGTTGGATATTCAAAAGAACATGCTGCAGATGTGGCACAAGTACTGCTACACTGTGCTTTCTATAGTCAGTATGCCCTATGGTTTTGACAGTAATTGTGTACACTTGAAATGAACAAATGTGAGATTGACAGTACCCCGTCTGAAGAAAAGTGACTTGAAAGGGCACAGCATAACTTCAATAAGAAAGCTCTCTTAGTCTATGCAGTATTCACTGGGAACAATAATAGTTCCAAAAGAGTTGTAGTGTAGCATTACAAAGAGGCAAAGGTAGGTTTTGGGGGGGCTAGCATATATATATATATATGATATATTCCATCTATACATGCATTGCTACATCCATATCGTATATACCCATTATACATTCTATGCATATACATATATATATATATATTACCATCAAATATATACATATGTGCATGCAAATATACATATATGTATACATAAACGTATGTACTATATGTAGATAAAAGACAAAAACTGTATTTATATATATATATAATACATACTAGATATTGCCATGATGTATTCGATATACATGGTCTAGCATATATTCAAAACGATCAACATGTTTAATATCATAAATATTTCGCATTTTAAATGTATCATATCACTTCGGGGCATGACTTCCTTTACTTACATCATTCCAGTGACATCAAAGTGAGGTCATTATAATTCATCCAGACCCATGATTGGGTTTGTTTGAGAAACTGGTCTTATTAATGAAAACAGTGATATCAAACAACAAATTCGAAGGTGATCCAAGAAATAATGTCCAAAATAGCCACTTATGGTCATGCTAATTCCTCTTAGCTACAAAACCGCAGCAGTTTTTGTTGAGAAACCATGATGGGTCCTTAGTCGCAGACATGGTGCATCAGAATAATATGTCAGAATATGTGTCAAATAGATGTCAGAATATACAGTGTGTCAATGTCAGACAAAATGTCAGAATCCATGTCTGTTGGCGGGAATCACTCAAAGTACAGCACTTATATTTTGTATCATATCGGTTTTGCCAAGAATAGGATACCGCAAAAACCAATGATTTATAATCTCACGTTCCCCATTCTTCCACGGCCATAACTTGGGGTATTCAAGTATCCAGTATTCTTGGGCATACCCAGCAGCAGCTCCTTCTCATTTCCAATCTCCGTCAAGAAGATATCTTGAGGATTCAGCGTGTCCTTGCGCTCGTGGCATTGCGCAAGGTGCCGGGCTGGGAGGAGGAAACGGAGAATGGCAGGAGACTGCTTCCCCTTTTGGCAAATGCCAAAGGACCCAAAATTTCACTGCCCATCAGCCTGCTCCCTCCAGCTTTTCACTCCCAGCCCGCACTGCAAATGGCACCTTTAGCGATTGTCCGTCTAGGTGATGCACCAAGTAGCCTCAGATCAAGGGCAAACTTGACACAGCCTGGAGTATGTGGCGACCTCAAAAAAAAAGATGAGAAGGTTGAAACGTAGTGATGAGATAGAAAAAAATCATCCACATCCTCCAGGTAAGTTGCTTTCAAGTGGACCAGCATTCATAGAAAATCTCAAAACACACTTTAAAATCGGGGCCTATGAATCTACTTATCTGCTCCTTTCATGATCTTGTCAGGGAAATCCATCCCTTGTCATGGCCAATCTTTATTGGAGACCTGGCATTTCTCGGCAGATGCCGGGGTCCCCAAAAATCCCAGGGCTCCCAGGGGTCCCAGGTGGCACGGTGTATCCCCAGAAACCCAACGTCTATCATAGTTGGCGGCTTCATTACCGATTGGAAAAGACGCAGCCAACTATCCCTTGGTTTTTTCTAGTCCATTCATATCCCACTCTCTCCCCATAATATACTACCCATGATCATTTTTGTCCCCAAAGATTCCCATATGGAGGTGTCCGTAAATGGTGGTACCCCCAGTTTTCATCCATTGATGGAGTTTCCATGAAATAAACCAACCAGCTATGGGAGTAGCCCCATGACTATGGAAACCCCCATGTGGATACCCTCTCGTAAACTAACAGTTTGCTATTGAAAATGGCCCAGTCGAAATAGTTGATTTACCCATAAAAAATTGTGATTTTTCATAGTTATCTGGTTGGTGGTTTCAACCTACCCCTCTGAAAAATGATGGAGTTCGTCAGTTGGGATGATGACATTCCCAAGATATGGACAAAAATAATCCAAATGTTCCAAAGCACCAAGCAGTTATGTTACCCTCCGGTAAATCAACATAGACCCTGGCAGTTGTCGGGGTTGGAAGACTCGTTTCCACTAAAAATGGCTTATTTTCAGGGTCTATGTTAATTTACCAGAGGGTAGTTTACCAGAGGATTTCCCACTAGTTCCGAACATCGCCACGAAATCGCGAAGTCACCGTCGATGCCCGCCGCGGCAAAGACGCCAACCACATGCTCCGACAGGCTGCTGGTCTTGGGCCTCAGAGCTGGAGCTTTGAATGGGAAACTCATGGGAAAATCTGGGGGAAAAACACGCTACTTCAATGGAAGTTCTGATGGAAAATCACTAAATGCTGGATTTTCAAGCCATGTTTGAAAACCGGATGGCATTTTCTTCGTTCATGATATCGCCAATAATGCCATTGTACACCAAGTACCAATCGGGATGAATAAAAAAAAGATTCACTCATCTGAAACGTTGGACCATTTTGATAGTCACAACTTACTAAGCCTCCTTTCAGTGACATCGCGAAGTGAGGTTGTGATAAAAATCATCGAGATCGACGTTAGCAGCAACAATGGGGATCCCAGTTGAGGTGACCTATCACCATGGTTCAATGGGCATGAAAATCTACGAGAAAAACGTATTCCCCAAATTGCCAGTTTGAAGGCCCCATGTCAGACACATCCCAAAGAAGGTGAAAATGCAAGTTGCCATTATTTCAGAAGGAGTTTACTTTTTTTCTTGAAGTTGATATGAGAAAACATGCGCAGAAAAGATTTGAGCTCTTCTTTGTATCGCCGATGCTGGATGGCTTGGATATCAAATCCTGGATGGATCATGTTGATTTGGCATTGGATGGTAGGGTTTTTTCATACTTCACTGGGGTAACAGCATGTTCCAAAAATACCATGACATTCATAGTTGGGCCAACTGTTGCGAGATGGTTATGGGCGAAACCTATGGTGATAACATCCAGTGGCCATGAGTTTGTCCCAAAAATGAGGATACTTGTTTTCATGGGCATCAAGACATCAGGAAAATGCGCTAAAATTACCCTCTGGTAATGACTAACATAGCTATAGAAAGATCCACCATTTTTAATGGGAAAATCCACTATTAATGGTCATTTTCAATAGCTATGTTAAATTACCAGAGGGTAATCATGATACGATTTGGGTACCCTATTTTTTTCAGACCAAACCCAGGCGGGGTTTTGGCTGTGCCTTTTTAGATGACCTGACCTTTATGAAGCGAGGCATGGTTATCCCACTGAGGGATGTGCAATGACCATAGGAAAGCAGAAACGATTAACGACCCATGTTACAATCCAGTTGTGTGAGGAATATCCCCAGTTGTACATGAGTTACATCTGGGTTCTGACCCATTTGGATATGTCTGAAAAACAAAAGTGGAGTCCAAAATCCAATGAAATTATCGTCATCGTCTCTACGAAAAATAGCCATGTGCCGCGTATACGCCGTTTTCACCCACACTCAAAATTGCTTATGTTTTCCCATTGTATCCCCACTGTGGCTGGTTAGCTTTATATATGTATGTGTATTATATATATAAATATACAGTATATATAATTATATATATATATATCCACAAAATTGTTGGTTAAAACACAAATGTGTCAGGCACCATCCAAATCATATTGTGTGTTGAATATGTTATATTCCAGCTGCCAACTGGAAATCACCATGTTTCAGCCCGGTAAATCATCGAACTAAATGAGCCCTCTATACCATAGCAAACTATGAATTTGCCAGAGGCTAGTGGATATAGTGGAATATACACCATATCCCTTAATAACGATATTGCTAGTTCTAGGGATATTATTACAATGCTGCCTGGTCGTTGTTATGCTTGTCATAGATCATCTTTACTAATCACTATGGTACTCATTGAAACTTACTTTTCCATTGTATCATATAGAATATTACCCAGCTGGGGGTAAATTTTGAGATATGGGCTATTTGGGTGCACATGTTTTTCAATGGATTGTTTAATGGTAAAACATCCCATAATTCTACCATAAATACTGTACCCTCTGGTAATCAAATGTGGCTGGGATATCCCCACGCTAAATGGAGGTTTCTAGCTGGGAAAATCCTCAAACTAAATGGTGGAAGTTCCATGTTTGATTAACAGATGCTACCCATTTGCCAACCATTCACTACTTCCCCACTTTTGTTAGTCAGATTTGGTTCGATTCCCCGTTCCCTTGATTGACTTCCCCATATCTTCGTTGGTTTTACCACAAATGAACTACAATACTTCAGTGGGAATTTCAGGACCCTTGCGGGGAGAAACTCCCTGAAATTTAGCCCTGAAATTCATAGGCCTTATATCATCTTAAATCATATAATAGGTACCTCCAATAAATCGGTTCCGGAAATAGGTTTCCCCACGGCAGGGCCGCATTCTCCATCGCCGACCAAGCCGCCTCGATGAAGACCCGATGCCTTGAAGAGGCCGGTGTTACAAAAAAAAATAGTTACTGTATTACTATAGGTGATGTATATCTATGGTACAACCATAGGGATTTCTATAACTGTCGTAACTTTTTGGTATACTTGAGAAAATACGTTAAAGAAAAAAGAAGCTAAACATACATGGCTATGTATACAGTAGTTATTTGGATAAAAATCCCTGTACTTGTCTGGTTATGTAATGACCGTAGTTAGTAACTGCCTGCATGGCGATTCACCCCGGCTGGCAAGTGGGTTTTTTTTTACCCCATGTCTAAGTAAGGTAAGTACGGGCAAAGTCCAGTTGTAACTGGGGTGAGCTAACCCTCTTACTCACTGGGATGCTTGCCCGTCCGCCATCAAACATGGCCAGCTGGCAAATCCCAAAACTACATGGAGGTTTCTAGCTGAGAAAAATCACTAAGGTATTCCTAGAAAGGACTTTCTAGCCATGGAGCTGGCCACCAGCTGACTTGACATGGAAGTACCCCATCTATCCCCATCTTACAAGGCTTTTGGTTTTACCTCTAAATTTTGAAAAACCCTCAGACAATCCAGGGTTTCACCGTAAGGTTGAGGTCCCCAGTGATTCTTCTGGGCCAGCCGGACTGAGGGTCCATCATCGAGGCCTCAAAGCGCAAAGGCCAGGTTTCTATCGAGAAAATGAACCAGAAGCAATTGTTAAAGGATTCAAATGTTCCTGAAAATGTACCAGTTACTATTTTAAATAGGATTCCCCCAAACAGTCTGGGGGGGAAAAGTAAATGTACCAGATACAAGAAACAGTAGCTATGGAACAGCAAGGAATCAAGGTAGGCACTTCGTAGCTGCAGCTGCAGGAACTTGCTTTGGCGCAAGAAGCAACGCTATGTCTACTCATCAGGACCTCATACCGGAACCTCATACCAGGACATCTAAGAAAATGTCAAAAGATCGTCAAAGAAGGGCCTTCTATTGTGTATATATATATAGGATCTTAGCAGATCTTCATACATCTTCATACAAGAACTTCCAATGAGCATCCCAGAAAAGCTTTCATACAAGCATCAACGCAGAGCATCTTCAAGATCTTAATGCAAAGGACCTCTGGAGTAGGATTTCAACAGGATCTCCACCAGATCTTCTCACAAGGACCTGTACAAGATCATGCACTGCAAGGACCTCTTAGAGGCTTTCACCAGGATCTCTACAAGATCTGCGCACAAGGAACTGACCAAGATTTTCATGCGAAGACCCCAAGGAGAATCTCACAAGATCATCATCAAGGGACCTGCTGCTGGAGAGGATCTTACAAGATCTTGATAGAAGAACCGCTTCAAGGCCTCCAAATCCACATGTTCTCCGCATGTTTGGTAGCGAAGTTTGACCAAAAGAAATGAGGATCAGCCCAGCATCTGCCGTCCAACTTTCTAGGACATGGCTTCTCCCCGGGTTTGAAAAAACATGGCTTGGAAAATCCGCCATTGACATAGTTCTTGATGTTCCCAAGCATATTAAAACCTCCATTTAGATCCATTTAGTGTAAAAACTTCCCATTGTGTTTGATTATGAGAGGGGGTTATACAGGGATATCATGGGAGATCTATTGTCATGTCTATTCCCTTTTTGCAGGCTTCACGAGACGACCATTGTGCGAGAATCCAAGGCCCCTTTGGCTTTCCGTAGTAAAAATGAACGGTGAAATGATGTCAAAATGAGATCTCTCTGAACAATAAATCAACATGCCTCCATCTGCCGCTTAAAAAGTAGGGTTCTTCTTGCAAAAAAAAATGCTGAATTCCCACCATCTGGCGCACTGCATCCGCCCTGCTCCTTGTTGTCCCATTCGTTTCAGGTTGTTTCACCCCATTGAGAAATGTGTTTTATAAAACTGGCCGTTGGGGTGTGTATAATTCCATAGATTCTGCGTCCTTCCGCCATGCAACTGCTGGGTAATCACAAGGCGTCGCCTCATGCCGCCCGATGCCAAAGAAGACGTTGTCGAAGTGGTCCGCATCGTTAATCATGTAGGCCGCAGGCCTTCGCGTTGATCCCTCGACTTGAGGAGTCCAAAACTGCAATCTTACCCTCTGGTAATTTAATATAGCTATTGAAAATGGCCATTTATAGTGGATTTACCCATTGAAAATGGTGATTTTCCATAGTTATGTTAGTTTACCAGAGGGTAATGTTCTTCATTGGTTTTCTACTGTTCTAGAACAATGGTTTTCTCATGAGTTTCCTGCGGGGAAATTTCCGGGGTCTCAATTCGAATGTCGCCAGTTCCAAGCGCGTGGACCCAGAAATGTCGCTGGGATTCGCAGGGTTCAAAGGTCAAGGAGTCTCCTATTCCATATGGGGGTTGCGAACGCCCAATGACATTAAAGCAGTTGATCATTCGTACCAGGTATCTCCTAGGAATCGCAAGCGGTTCATAACTGACCCTAGGTCCTATTGGGATTTCCGCGACGGAGATCAAAACTGCTGATGACTTGGCGGATGGGATCGCATCTCTCGGAATTCAAGAGAAAATGGTTCAGGAAAAACACGAAAGTTTGCGACAGGTCGAAATATCTAATTATTTCGCAATAACAAATAATCAATGTCCCTTGATATTATTCAACTTTCCCACAATGTGATGTGCTGCGTGTGTGCATGTGTGCGCGCTATGTAATGCAATGTAATGATGTAATGTACTGTGATGGGTAATATAACGTAACGTAACCGTAGCGTAACGTAACGTAACGTAACATGATGTAACGTAACCTAATGTAACGTAACGTAAGGTTGCATAATGTGTTGTAATGTGTTGTAATGTGTTGTAATGTGTTGTAATGTGTTGTAATGTGTTGTAATGTGTTGTAATGTGTTGTAATGTGTTGCAATGTGTTGCAATGTGTTGTAATGTGTTGTAATGTGCTGTAATGTGTTGTAATGTGTTGCAATGTGTTGTAATGTGTTGTAATGTAATTTGTTCTAATGTATTGTAGTGTAGTGTCATGTAATGTGTTGTAATGTGTTGTAATGTAATTTGTTCTAATGTATTGTAGTGTAGTGTCATGTAATGTATCGTAGTGTAATGCAAATGTAAATGTAAATGTAAATGTAATGTTGTGTTGTGTTGTCTTACTGCATGTTATGATATGATATGATATGTTGCTTTATGTAGTTATGTAACGTAATTGAACGCAATGCAACTTAATGCAGCGCAATGTAATGGAACGTAGTGTAATGTTTTGCATTTGTGTGTGCATGTAGGTAGGTACGTGCGTACTTACGTACATAGGTATTTAGGCATCTATCTGTCAATCAATCGAGTGATCTCTCTATCTGTCTATCTACCTGTCTGCTTATCTATCTAATCTAATCTATTCCAATCTTAATCCAATCTAATCTCATCTAATCAAATCTATCTATTTATCTGATCCATCCATCCATCCATCCATCCATACATCCAATGTATCTAGCTAGGTGTAGATAATATGTGTATACATAATATATATATATATATGCGCACTTGATCCAAGCCCTTCCTGTAAGCACTGAGCTTTCCAGCACGAAATCCTTGTGCCCCAGTGTGGTCTCCGGTACACCTTTGCCTGTGCCAAGGCGCAGTATACCATTCACGGGCCCCAAAAATACGAAATATGTTTGTTTTTCCAAAAAGATATGGGGATGGGTCAAAACCCTATCCCCCTGGTGAACATCAAAATAGCTGGTAAATGGATGTTCATTCCCCTAAAAATGGTATTAATAGGTATTGATCCATAGCCATATGGTTGGTTCAAGAAAAGAGTGCTAATAAGAGAACATCCAAATTGTCCCATCAAAGTATGGTGCGATTATGGTTTGGGCTGGGGCCTTGGAATCCAGTAAAATATGCTTCAGAATTGGAGAGCAAATAAGCAAGCACCATATGAAACCTTAATCGAAGAAAACCCTTTAAGACTTGACAATATTGAAGCTTATATGGGCCTTAACCTAAGCGATAATTCATGATATAGAAACCTTATCACTATTGCGGCTTAACACCTCATTCTCGTAGCTGACATGGCTAATCCTATATATGAAGCCGTCAGCCTACCAGTTACCAGTTGGATTTCCCATCACCGTTCTGTCAACCCCTCAGTGAGCCGAAATCACATTTGTTGTGGTTGAAGAATCCCCAAATAGTTGTAGTTTTACCCAAATATTCCGGCTTCTTGCTGCTTGTAGTCCCTATTTATATTTGCATCTGGTCATATTCCATTCTTGGGTGAAACATAGTGAAACCACCCGACAAACCCTTCAACCTCCAGCCAAAAACATGTCAAGGGAATACCCTTCGCTTCTTTCGGGTTGTTCCGGCCAGCCACGGCCATGATTACGAGAGGGTCTTGTCCCATTACATCAGGTTGTTGATTACGTCCACAGTTTTTATGTTTAAATATGGACTACAAGCAATTGTCCAACATTGAATGGTAAAACATATGGATGCATTTAAATATGTTTAGATATTACGAGAGGGTATTCTCCACAATTGAATACGAATGTTTTACCATTCTTTACAGCAATCCGTTGGGCCTCGCAAGAACTCCTTCGACAGGAAGCGTACCGAGACGGCCGCCCTGCAGGTCAACGTTTGAACTCTGGGTGTGCAAGTCAGACTGGGGTGGAAAAAAGAGGTACAACTATGGGATTTTAGGCCCCATGTTTGTTGGGATATATATATATGTGTGTGTATGTATATATATATATATGATATATGTATAACCCCTGTAATTAACTATGGTTACAAACCCACGTACAATCTCAACTGCATCCCCAAGTACTTGCGGGTGCAGTTCCATTTCCAGTTCGAATCAGAGATCTCGCACAGCAGTTTTGTCGTACATCCCAACATAGATGGGAGTTGAAATCCCATGGTTATAGGCTGTACACAACAAACAACTTGCAGCCAAGTAAGTGGGATGATCCGTGAAGATTCCATGAAGTTAGAAACAATTCTGGCTATCATGGAATGTCCTTGAAGCTTGGTAAATGGTAACTATGCTCCACTCTACAAGGGATATGTGCTCAAGTTGTTTAATTCGAAATGACTTGGCCAACCTGGGCACATCTCTGAGATGGAAATGGATCGAGTGTCCAAAGCTTTTGTCAAGGTCTATGATGGTTTCAAGGGGGGGTGTCTTATTTTACACTGTTTGGAGTTTGATCCATCGGCAATTGGAAGAGTCAAATACCATCAAGGAAACCGTGTTCAAAATCTTCTTGGTTGATAGGGGGTCCGAAGATAATAAGGCCCTATAATCCCCAACATACAAACTATAACCCCCTGCAAGAACTGATGTTGGTCGTTTGGAAGTGGTCCTAGTTTCAGAGGATTTATCAGATTTATCTCCTGGACATGTTAGCCAATGTGACAGACCCACAAAACTGGATGATTCAGTACCGAAAGTGCCCCCTCCCCCTCAAGTTGTGTGGAAATTGATACCCCATGGAGATGTTTGGCCCAGACAAGCGGCCAAACATCTACCAATCTTAAGTTGACATCAACTGACCTATCGCGCATCTTGTTCGCTTGGCCATTCTTCCAGTGGAAAGCTTCTCCAGCCCTGGCGCCTGAGTATGTTGTCCCAGAAATGTTCCACAGAATCAGCGCCTGATGAGCGAGTCCGGCGCAAACATGGTAAGATGCAACTGATGCAACCAACAAAAGCGGCTGGATTTCGCCAAAAAGAGAGCAGCTAATGAACAACGGAAATAATAGAAATAGAGATTGAAGCGACAGAATGGGGCTTGAATGAAACAAAAATTACAGCATTTCATGGATTCAGGCCCCCCACGGCGCCTGGAAATTTCCCCGACATGCCAGCCACGGCCAATTTCGATGTCTGCCACGGTGGGTGGACCCATTTCTGATGGCTTTTCTGACAGTACGAGCCTCCAGAAATCAAACTTGGCTGGCTGGGAAATCCTATGAAATTATATATATGAAAGTTTCTAGCTGGGAAATTCATCGAACTAAATGAGGGATTTGTCCAATTGCCATGTTCGGTTACTGGATGGTGGTGCCAAAAAACTAAACTGCTTGGGAGACTGAGTATCTTGAGAATTACCCTTGGACATTCATTCCAAGTACTGAGACGTAGTCGGATGGAACCGGTCAATCGCCACGGACTTTCCATTTAGAAACCTCCATAGATTTTGGGATAAAAGGCAGTCATGTTTGATGGCCGTAAAATTCCAGCCACCAACCCCACTCAGGACCATCATACCCAAGTGGTGAATCCCATACCCTTTTTGAATGGGAGCATCATGCCAAATGATTGGGAAATGTCAGCCATCCATAAAAATTGGCTTGTATCCGAAAATTTCTGCTGCTGATGTTCCCCATTTCTCGCACACTTCTTGTTGACAAACACCCTATTTATGATGGGGAAAAGCAAATTAAATAGAGCACGCCGCCAGCTGTAAAAATCCCCAAAATCCAAGGGTGGAATCGAAATATTCGCTATATTATGTTGCGGTGTGGCTGCGAATATCCTCAAATATCACATGTTTTTTCTGGTGGCTTAAAATCCCCAAGTTACGGATAAGTTTCACCATGGGAATTTGACCTTTCGACCGCAGAAAAGGTGGCCTCCCGCATCTCTGGCTCGTGAGGGCCTCAGGGCTGGAGACTTCAGCGAGAAAATCGCTTAACTTGCGTGCGCGTTGATGATACTGTCCCGGTTATATACATACTGTTGATAGATGGTTTATCCCATTATTCATAGGGTTTCAACCATCCAAGGTGGTGCAGGATTTCTTCCATCCACAGTATGTCAACAACAATCATCATATACATATGTCATATATGTGTATCCGTATACATGGGTTGCGATTACATACTTTCTGATGTGTTCTTGAAGCGGGCTACAAACTCACAGCCGCCCATTCTGTTGAACCCTTTCCAAAGTCGTGGTCTCTTTGAAGAAAGGCTCCCACTGCCCTAGTACACTCGCGAAGATCACTCCATCACCAGCAACTACGTGACATGTCTCAAACTGTGACATTCCCCTAGTAATCCCCCCACAAGTTGAAAACGCGAGGAAATCTTGTACATGGGCCAAGCGTTCATCGAAAATCCATGGTGCACCCCAAATGTTCAAAAAGCTTGAAATGCAATTCCAACATCAACATATTTGAAACACCATGAAACACGTATACTTCCGGAGATGAACGCCCACTAAAAACACATCAAAATTCGCCTTCTGGGATTGTGAATAAAACCTCCCCTCTCCGTATTGGCCCAACATAAATTGCCACCAACAGCCCATAGAATCTTGATATTGGAGGTTTCGCAAAATGCTGGTACCCCCAAATCCTTCATTCTAATAGGACTTTCCATTGACCATCCAGCTATTGAGGTACCCTCCATTGATGGAAACCTTCCAAAAACTGCCACGCTACGGATGGAGTTTGGGGAGATCATGGCGCTTCCTCAGTGGAGTGGTTTCTGGTTTGGTTCGTCAAAATCTTAGGTGGGTGTGGACCATGATTGTTTTGGGGGATTGCAGTTCAGACCATGATTTTGGGGGGACTGAAATTTGGACCATGATTTTTGAGGGGACTGAATTGATCTGACGTGACCAAACATGACATTCAATGGATTGGTTTCCCACAGAAAATCTGCAGGAAATTGCATTTTTATCCCCTCTTTTGTTTGGAAGAAATAATTCTGGGAAAGAGGGGTCATGGTACAGCACTGGAATATCAATAAGCCAGGGGGCCCATCTCAATGTCAACGTGTCGCATTCTTCGGGGATGTTGCCGATGCCCAGGACTTTGATCATCGACATAAAAAGGGACAATGATCACGATCATCATGATGATCATAGTAGTCATGATGATGATGATGATGGTGATGATGATGACGATGATGATGATGATGATGAGGAGGAGGAGGAGGAGGCGGAGGAGGAGGATGAGGATGACGATGACGATGAGGATTATGATGATGATGATGATGATGATGATGATGATGATGATGATTATGATGATGATGATGATGACGACGATGGCGATGGCGATGACGATGGCGATGATGATGGCGATGATGATGATGATGAGGAGGAGGAGGAGGATGAGGATGACGATGACGATGAGGATTATGATGATGATGATGATGACGACGATGGCGATGGCGATGACGATGGCGATGATGATGGCGATGATGATGATGATGATGATGATGATGATGATGATGATGATGATGATGATGATGATGATGATGATGATGATGATGATGATGATGATGAGGATGGATGGCGGAGGAGGAGGATGAGGATGAGGATGACGATGACGATGAGGATTATGATGATGATGATGATGACGACGATGGCGATGGCGATGACGATGGCGATGATGATGGCGATGATGATGATGATGATGATGATGATGATGATGATGATGATGATGATGATGATGATGGTGATGATGATGATGATGATGATGAGGAGGATGACGATGACGATGAGGATGACGATGACGATGACCATGACGATGACGATGACGGTGATGACGACGCGTTTAGAATTAAAACCTCTTGAAGAGGTTTAGATCATTCCCAAAAAGCTCAGGGAGAAGTTCCAACGATACCAGGCAGCCTGCTTCCAGCTCCACTTTGGACTCGACAAAGTCACAGAGCGCCTCTGACCCCAAGTCGAGGTCTGCCCCAGCAGTTGTACCCATTGATATCCCTCCGCTAATCAAACATGGCAGTAGAAAATCCCCAATGGAGGTTTTAATCGGAAAATCATCCATAAATCAGGAATTCTTCATTGCCATGGTTCAGTACCAGTAGGGTCTGTTGGGTTTTAGAGAATGTTAAAAAGGGCATGCCTTGGATGCTCTCTGAAAAACTGGGGGGCGTGGCCACCCTGAGCTGATCATCTGACTTGATTTGGTGTCTCATCCCCCACGGGTCCTCTAACTGTACCGGCTCTCTGACCCATGGCAAGTTCCCTATCATCTTTCCACCTTGAAACACCATCCAAATAGCCCAGAGATGGCGACAAAACATCCAGGTTTTTCCAGAGATGGCCACAGGATACCCAGGATACCCATCCAGTCCCTACCTGCAAGGTGGAATGGCTGTAGATGTCTAAGACCTGGAGACCCCCCCAGAAGTCGGCCAGAAAAAAAAAGTGTCAACAAGTGGCGGTCACCGGTTTTCCAAGGTATGATACATATGTATAATATATACGTCTATTTGGATATATACATATATATATATGTATATATATGTGTATATATATATGTATATATATATATGTATATATAAGTATATATAAGTATATATATATATATTATGTATATATATATATATGTGTGTGTAATGTATGTATTCTATCTATCTATTGATCTGGATATATGACTCCAAGGCACTTCACCCAATCAATTGATTCTCCTTTCTGGGTCCTTCATGCCTCTCTCACTATGAAAGCCGTTGAACCCAAAGTTGGTGATGGCCCATGGTGATTTACCACATTTGTTGCTGAACAAATATCCCAGTGCAATCGAGTTGAAGTATATCTTATATCATCCTATAGCATCGTGTATTCCCACTAGTCGTTGTATGAGTTTTGCTTTTAGATGGTTAGCCAAATCCAATTTTGGATGGATCAAAAAAATGCACATCCGCACTATATCCACAGTACAGTATATGCCAGTACTGTTGTTGTATCCTAGTTCAAGTATATCTTATATCACATCCCATTATCCTCATTTAAGTGTGTATATATATACATACATATGATCATCTTCTATCGCCAGTATTCTATATATGATTGTTGCTTTTGGATCCTAGTTGCACATCCCCATTGGAGGTTTCTACAATGGGACTACCCTTGTAATCATCCAAGTGCATTAGACCATCAATTAGCATGGGTCAACCCACCGTGAGATGGATCCTAGTTGCATATCCTCTTTTTTCTCCATTCTATCCCCATCTTAAATCCCATGATCGGAATAAAACATTGAAATAAATCCAAGATGGCGATATATCTTATGATTGTCTATAAAAATCATGGGGATAAATATGTATTTATATATATATATATATCCATTTTCATTTTACCCATGACCTTTACCCCATCATTTTGCCAAGGCGCCGTCACCGGCAGGTGGTATTCGGAGGACAGCTCCGTGGCCATCTTCGCAGCCAGCGCCGAGTGGCCACCAGTGTCGAAGAAGTTCTCCTTGAAGAATGGGGGGGAAACATGGGGAAAACGCTGATTGAGCCCATCAGAAATGGTGGAACACGGTGGTTTAGCCATGAAACATGCGAGAAAATTGCGATTTACCCCATGAAAAATGTTGGAAAATGGGGATTAGCCACCGGAAAATGATAGAAAATTGTCATTTAGCGATCGGAAAATGCGAGAAATGTGTGATTTACTTCCTCAAAATAGATAAACATGTTGATTTACCCAATCAAAATGGTGGAAAAATGGTAATTCAGCCATCAAAAATACGAGGAATGGTGATTTACCCAATCAAAAATGGTGGAACATGATGATTTAACCGTTGAAAATGGTGGAAAACGTTGAGATCTTCCCCATCCAAAATCAAAGTGATCTCATGGGGAGTGTAACCATCAATCAAATAGGCATTTCATCGAAAATCATCAAAAGAATTGATGGTATAACAGCAACCATACTGGGATATGATGTCATTTTTCATGGTTATGTGTGGTTCCAAAGATTCCCATCTTTCATGGGCCAAAATGGAAACCATCTCCCGTGCGAACCTCAGGGTCCACCACGTCCATCTCCAATCCCAAGACCTGCGCGAAAAACCGGGGCCTGGCTAAGAAATAGCCTGATCATCTATGACATGTATGTAATTACATAGGTGTATGTGTATTGTAATATAGATAGATTAGATTGTATCAGACTAGATTGTATTAGATTAGATTAGATTAGAATTAGATTGTATTAGATTGGATTAGATTTAGATTAGATTAGATTAAGATCATCCATCAGCCAAGTTATTTCAACCACTTTAGCTAGCATTCTCAACATTTCATCATCATTTTTCTTATGGAATCTTTCACCAAAAGGGCCAAGATCGCCTTGGCCCAGACGGACGTCACCACTCCGCGGACGCCCGTCTCTTCCTCGGCAGATGGCATCTTCCCATCATTTGTCCACCTTGATATTTCATTGCAATATATGATTTTCATTGTACAATATCTATATACATATCTATCTATCTATCTATCTATCTATCTATATATATATATAATGCCATATAATTATGTTCCACTTTTTTTTATAGATAGTATATAAAATGGGATAGAATTGGATATATGATGAATAAAATGATGGAACCCTGTGTGTGTGTGTATTTCATACAGATGGTTTTATCATTCGAATTTTAAGGGCTGGTGATAGTTACGTCTCAACCATTGGACGGAGTAGGGGATCAAATTTGTTTTGGACAAACCGAAAGTGTGAAAGAAAAATGCAGCTGAAAATATGAAGAAAACCTGTTGGCACCAGCTAGGACCACGGCAATCGATCCGCATGATATGTGAAGGCTATGTACAAATATATACATACATACATACATATATATATATCACCAATCAACAAGCAAAAGTTGGCAATTTGGAGGTCAATAAGTTTGAGCCATCTTGGACACGTTTGGCCACAAGCGAAAGTTTGCATTTCGGGGGAATTGATCTTCTTGAATGATAAACCCGTCAAACTACATCTTGAGCAATGTTTACCAATATCCACCGACCCTGGGTGAGCAAGGGCAGCGCACCGAGGAAGAAAGGTTGCCAACAACACCACCAACCACCACCACTACCACCACCGCCGCCACCACCAAGAACAACAACAACAACAAGAACAAGAAGAAGAACAACAACAAGAACAACAACAACAACAACAAGAAGAAGAAGAACAACAACAACAACAGTAATAATAATAATAGAAGAAGAAACTACTGTACTATCTATGGATTTCAGAAGGGACGTTACGGAGTTTTCCATGGTTTGTTCGTCTTGTGCAGGTGCCCCAACTGGGCCCATCAACGATCCGATGGTCCAAACATCCACCCACTCGGCTCCCAAGCAAGTTTGGGTGGCCGCGGCTGTGGTGGAGTCGCCACATGTCCCTGCGCTGAGGAAATTCTGCGTGACTTTTACTTGTCGACCCACTAAGAGATGGTCAACTTTCACAAAAAGATGGTCGTTTGTACATCTTGTAGTCCAAAAAAGGTAAAACATCCACGGGCTTGGCTGCTTTTGCAGCTGAGTATCAAACCATCTGACTTTCAGATCCTAGCAAGAAGGTCCACAAAAGATTGATGGCTGACTGCGGAATGACTTCGGTATGAGGCCTGCCGATCTATGGTGGGATAAGCTTGGGAAAATTCCAGTTGGTTTGTCCTGACTTTGTGACGATTAACCAGCGGATTTAGGGGTACCCAATTTTCAGATTTGAAGGGTGGAGAGCCAAAAGAATGAGAACGTCCTTAAATCTACCATTTTGAGAGTATATTGAAGTCATATCACTGTGAAACCATTTCTTTGTATGGGAAAGTGATCAATGTATAGAAATGGAAATTGTATCACCAAAGGGCACTCAATTTTGGCCCATACCCATCTCCTTGATAGCCTGCGAAAGCCCCACGTTTCCAGCATTCCCACAGAGTGAGGAAACTAACTGCCTTGGTCATTGACTGACCAATAACCAAAACCTCCTAGGATGCGCATGTTAGTGGGTTTCTTGTGGGCGATATGAGTTGTATTCTCTCAACATTTGCACTGAATGTCCCACATTTGGGGTGTATCCAAAAACGGAAGGATGCCCCAAAATGTCAATTTGAAATTTGAGGTAAATTTGAGTGGTGTTCCCCAAGCTTTCAGGTACCGAACCGATAGTTGGCAGATGTAGTCAGTTATAATCCCAAGAAAGATCCAAGAGTACTTATCCCTAGTTTTTTGTCGGATTTTACTTGTCCACCCGAAAATTCGGGTGGTCTTCCTCCCAAAAAACATTGTCTCGCCTTCAGGACCTTCAGATCAGCCATCTCTGCCAACCTGAACAAATCGGCTCATTGGGGGAGTACTTGGAGGATCCTACGGATCGTGCTGAAAATAAGCCCAGTTAGTGGGGTTGTCCTATCTATGTATGTATCTATGTATCTATCTATCTATCTATCTATCTATGTATGTATGCATGTATCTATCTATCTATGTATCTATGTATCTATGTATCTATGTATCTATGTATGTATGTATGTATCTATGTATCTATGTATCTATGTATCTATGTATCTATGTATCTATGTATCTATGTATCTATGTATCTATGTATCTATGTATCTATGTATCTATGTATCTATGTATCTATGTATGTATCTATGTATCTATGATGTATCTATGTATCTATGTATCTATGAATCTATGTATCTATGTATCTATGTGTATCTATGTATCTATGTATCTATGTATCTATGTATCTATGTATCTATGTATCTATGTATCTATGTATGTATGATGTATGTATGTATGTATGTATCTATGTATCTATGTATCTGATTGGATCTATGATCTATGTATCTATGTATTAGTTATCTAGGTATCTATGTAATCTATGGATCTATGTATCTAGTACTATGTATCTATGTATCATCTATCTATCTATCTATGTATGTGATGCATGTATCTAGTATTAGATCTTAGTATCTAATGTAGGTATGTAGGTATGTAGGTATGTAGGTATGTAGGTATGTAGGTAGGTAGGTAGGTAGGTATGTAGGTATGTAGGTATGTAGGTATGTAGGTATCTAGGTATCTATGTATCTATGTATCTATGTATCTATGTATCTATGTATCTATGTATCTATGTATCTATGTATCTATGTATCTATGTATCTATGTATCTATGGATCTATGTATCTATGTATCTATGTATCTATGTATCTATGTATCTATGTATCTATGTATCTATGTATCTATGTATCTATGTATCTATGTATCTATGTATCTATGTATCTATGTATCTATGTATCTATGTATCTATGTATCTATGTATCTATGTTTCTATGTATCTATGTATCTATGTATCTATGTATCTATGTATCTATGTATCTATGTATCTATGTATCTATGTATCTATGTATCTATGTATCTATGTATCTATGTATCGATGTATCGATGTATCGATGTATCGATGTATCGATGTATCTATGTATCTATGTATCTATGTATCTATGTATCTATGTATCTATGTATCTATGTATCTATGTATCTATGTATCTGTGTATCTATGTATCTATGTATCTATGTATCTATGTATCTATGTATCTATGTATCTATGATCTATGTATCTATGTATCTATGTATCTATGTATCTATGTATCTATCTATCTATGTATCTATGTATCTATGTATCTATCTATGTATCTATCTATGTATCTATCTATGTATCTATCTATGTATCTATCTATGTATCTATCTATGTATCTAGGTAGCTAGGTATCTATGTATATATGTATGTATGTATGGAGGTGATGTATGGAGTTGGAGAGGAGGGAGAGGAGGGGAGAGGAGGAGAGGGGGGGAGGAGGGGGAGAAGAAGGGGAAGAGAGAGAGAGAGAGAGGGGGAAAAAAAAAAAAAACAAGAAGGGGGGGGAAACGAGGGGGGGGAACCCGGGAAGAGGGGGCGAGACGGAAAAGCACAAGAGGGGGGGAAGGAAAGGCAGCGACGACGGGGCCGGCAGCGAGGAGAGGGGGGGGGAGAAGCGGGGGGGACCGGAGGGACACGGGGGGCGGCCGGGGCGAACAAAAAAAAAAACCAAAAAAACCCCCAAAAAAAAAAAAAAAAAAACAAAAACTAACCCCCCACCCCCCCCCCCAACAAACAAATTGTTCATCATTGGTAACCTTTTGGGGGGATGGAGAGGTTACCTTCTGTTACCTCCTTCATAGAGAGGTTTATGACTCTGGAATGACTTTTGGCGGATAAGCGAGGTCCGACCCGGATCGATCATGAGTTGGGGTCTTAAAGCTGAGTGACGGCACTTGCTGAATAGCAGAGGCAATGGGATCTGTAGCTAAGATTGGGGTCGTGCTATTTTTTTTATTATAATTTGATTCAATACACATGGTCTAAAGTGGGTTTCCGCTTCAGTTGGATGGGAAAATGCAAAAAAACAACCAGAACTTCTGGTCTGCTCGGTTAGTATTGCCCCACCTTTTTCAGGAGATACATCTGGGCCCAAAAAAAATCGGATTGAAGCCGGCCATGATCCTATCAGTCCTAGCAACCTAACCTCTCCCTGAATATGTTAGGAACATCATCTTCTAGAAAGCTCATTGTTCTACGACGGGGTTTCACCATAGTTCACCCTGATGAGCTGTGAATACAGTATCCTATTGCGTGCTCGACCAAAAAAATACATTTGTACAGAAACCCCATGCGTTCGTAGCTTTCAGCTTCCCATTTGTGTTGTCGCTCGACTTCTGCCTTCGCAGTGGTTAGATCCCCATGTGAAATCCGTTTTTTGGTCTTGAAGTCAATTCTTTGTTGGTTAAACCCTCATGTTTGTAGCTTAAACACCCACGCTGACCAGCAAAATGTCCATGTTTTTTTGAACCAATTGAGCTGTGCCGAAAGCTGCAGCCATGTCATTTTTTCGGTGGTTTCACATCACTTCCTCCCAGCAACCTGCGTCGATTCAGCTTGCGGCTCTCGCCACCCATGAAGCAATCCGCGGGCAGCGGCCGGAAGTAGCTCGGCCTTGGTGATTTTTCTGGATGTTGAGCCTCCAAATGGTTCTTTTAATGGCTAAAATGATGATAGACCTATATTATATTAATAAAATATTATTCTTGGGTAAAACTGTTATTTAATAGGTAAGATGATGGTAAACCATGATAAACCTATTTGTTTGGGAAACAATTGTTCGTTTAATGGACAAATGCTTCTTCAAATTTGTGGGACTCCTGCAACAAATCCTTGTGTTGACTCCTGCCCCATTTTCTGTCGTGGTACGAGCCCTGTTACAGGAAAATGAGCCGATGTTTTGATCGTGGCACATTTGAAATCCAACTATCTTTTGGAGAAAGAAAACATCTTGGTCAGATGAATTCAGACTTGGTGATCCTGGAAGCAAAACCCAATCTCCAATTGGGCAGTTCTCTTGGGGGAGGAGGCAACCAAAGAGTGCAGTCAAATAACCGCAGGAAACCTCAGAAAGTCTGAGCAAAAAATGATGGATATCGTGACATTACAGCTAATACCGCTGCGGATTGGCTTTGACACGGCTAATCTTAGGTGGCCAAAAACATAGCTGAGTGTGATGTTCCCCGGTTTGTAGCAAAATTGACCCATCATAACTCGATCAGGCCAAGATTTGCTGAGAATTGGACTAAGAGTACAAGACAAGGTTCTAAGCAAGAATCATCGGGATGGACCATTTTGTGGCTTTGGTGGGCTGGACTAGAAGAAGTCCACCTCTGCGGACACATCGTGTCTGCGAATGCAAAACCGGCTCCAAATATAGTGATGTTTCGTATGAAACCTCCAACGTTGAAAGTGTGAGTCATTCTAATCACCATCCATTTGGTAGACAGAGTCCACAACTTTAGCCTTGGATAACACAGGACACCAGCAATACCTCCTGGCATCTCCTGGCCCCAATGTGTGCCCAGAGGCATCATCCAGCGAGGGATCTCCTTTACGGCCTGACCATAGGGATGAATTCTCTCAGCAAGCTATGTTTGATTACCGGAGAGTATATGTCATATTACCTGGTACAACAAAGTTTTACACAATGTGATATGTGAATGTATTGAATGTGTTTGAGAATGGTGGATGGGCCCCCACCCCAACAGCTCCACCCATGTTGTCGACCACGTCTGGTGGTTGGACCATGTTGAATGGCAGTTGAATGTTCCATCTGAAAAAATTCCAGGAAGTCAGCAATCTGGAATCCCTTCGGCCATAGATGATTTACTGATTTACCCAACATTTCAGTGACGTAGTCACGACGTAGTCGCTCGACGTAGTCTCTCGCTGGCTGAGTCCCCATCGTTTCCACATCGCCGCGTCGCCTCCTTTTTGATTCGCTGGACCAAGTCCTCATACTGCACATCGTCCTGATCCCAAAAGGCTTGGTCGGAGATCCCTGAGCTCAATTACCCTCTGGTAATTTAACAGTTCGCTATTGAAAATGGCCATAGAAATAGTGGATTTTCCCATTGAAAATGGTGGATCTTTCCATAGCTATGTTAGTTTACCAGAGGGTAAACCATATGGTGAACCTGTCATCCCCAAACCCAGTTGGATGATTCCACCCGTGTAACCAGACGTTGCTCTATTCGCTTGCGACGCCGAAGACCCCGGCCGAGTTAAGAAGAGTGAAATGACTGAAGTAATCTCAAAATTATACGAACTCATATCACATTAATCAAGTGGTTGAACTACATTTATTAACTGACTATGACTCATATAATGGCCGAGTAAATTAACTCATATTTCTATCTATATTACATGATCAAGCTACTCATTCCCCCAATGCTGGTCTAACCCACATGGCCGAGCTCCTGTGGCTTCACGAAACACAGCAAGCTGTCCACCGACGTGGGTGTCTCAGAGGGTGCTGCAGGATGGCAACCCCAAAACGGATGGAAAAGTTGGAACCTGGAAATACGAGGTAAATATCATCCATACCATCATGGAAACAATGTTCGCATCTCTTTTAAGTGGGCACAAATCAATCTATAGCAATTCTCCAAAGATCTCGAAAAATAAAAGAATCATGACTATTGTAGTTGGATTTTACCCTGATATCTTACCATGCTATCTTTCTGGGGGTTACTACAAATATAGATGTCCAACCTTCACCCAACCCGGCAACCCGGCCAACGCCCACCTCGTAGACGGGCACCACAGCGCAGAGCGCCACCCCCGAAATGTGGGCGATGGCTCCTTCCACAACGGGAATCCCCACCTGGCGAGGCTACTTAGGGAGGATCATCCCACGATTCAGTGGGCAAAAATAGCCTGGTTGGGAAGTCCCCAATTCCTGGATTGTCCCCATGGGTGATTTTTTAAGGGTAAGTCCCGGTTTTTCAAAAGGTTTTTTTTGTTTGGTGGAACTCATAGATGTAATGATTGAAGCGTTTTTCGGGAACGGGAAAAGTGCGCATATGATTCCACGGAATCTTTATGACATGACTAGCCGAATATGGATGATGATTACAACGAAATGGGAAGGAGCAAACGGATAGTATACAGATTGAAAAAAACAAACGATAACCCATGATTTCAAGGAACACACCATCAACTATGGCGGTAAAATTGTGTCCAAAGATGAGTCTTACCAGGGAGGATGGTCCCTACAAAAATCTGCTGCCAGAAATGCATCCTCCAAACCTGGGAACGAAACCAGGATGCATCACCTTCTACATAAGTAATGCAGCTTGGAATCCAGAGTTTGTTGGATAAATCATACCTGGGAGAGTTCAACCTCTAACTTTTTGAGGTGAACCTCCAATTTTTTGCTAGTAGCTAAAGGTTAAACCTCCAAGTCTTGTTACCAATCTAATCCCCAGGTTTTCTGTTAGTAAAAAGCTCCCAACAATTGCTAGTTAAGCCCCTAATTCCTTTCCCACTTGGACCCCCAATTTTTTCTGAGCTACATTCAAGAACCTGTGCAAGTTTTTACCGCCCGTTTCTTGTGAGGTAACTCCCCATTTCGTTGTTAAACCTCCTATTTTTAGTTGAACCCCCGTTTTGGGTAATTAAGTTAAACCCCCATGTTCTTTTCTGCATTGGCTACAGATGATAAAAATCCAAACTTGGTTGAATTGAGGTTTTGTCAAACATATCAAATGCCCATCTTTTGCTTGACAAAAAATCATGTTTCTTGAGTTCGCCACCCCCCCCCAATTTTTTGATATCACTGCGTGCCTTGAAGCCCCGAATCTTCACGGTGCTGTCGATGCGCCCGCGGATCTCCAGCACTGGTGGCTGCCCCACCAGCCGGGCGGCATCGCCTACACTGGGCACTTGGGTAGGAGTGATTTTTGGACGGGAATTTCCAGGAAGTTTCAAATTATTGTGATTTTTTAAGGGGGGTTCTAGATCCAAAATGTTCGAAACGGATTGTTTGAAATGGTTTCTGACCAGCGATTTTTGGAAGAAAGCGGTGGGTTTTTGGACGGGACACATGTCACCAGAGCCCAGCAAGATGCTGAAGTGGATGTTCAACGCCCAACTATCAAGGCTTTTGCTAAGCTACGGAAATGGAAGGAGAATAAAAGATGAATCAACGAGAATGATGAGCCAAAGTGAGATTCCAGCACAAGAGCAACAAGGATAAAGTTGGGGATTTGCAAGCCAGAAACCATGATCACTGAACCAGTTTGCCTTCATTGGAGTGCATGTACGTGCATGTACATCTACACATGCACGCTTGCATTTCTGTATACATGTGAGACAAATGCACCACTTTCAATATGGTGTCATTAATATCCAAATACCCAGCTGTGCAACGAAATACCCATCGAAACATTCCATTGTTTCAACGGGGTGAAAACTACCGATATGGTTGTGTTAGGCTCACCACCAACTCACAACTTATGGTTCACTGGCACTCACTGGCACTCGCTGTCCTGTCTTGTACCATTTCCACTTGCCCTGAGACAGGTCAGCCTGGGCATCGAATCATTGCCGGGATGATCATCGACAGGTTCTCCAAAAAACGGACAGTTCTCACCATCAAAACGGCAAGAAATACCCTCCAGAAATCAAACATGGAGATGTAAAATCCTCCATTTACAGAGCATTTTCCCATATAAACCCCTCATAAAAAAGGGAATTTTTACAAAGCCATGTTTGATTACCAGATGGTATGTTTCTATATTTTGGAGATCAAGACGTTGTGGACCCACGCCCACCCCTGCAACCCCGCAAGCCATTTGATGATAATTCGGGATGTGTATACCATTAATCTATGGTTCCTTTGTTGGCAAATTCAGGGAAAATCTCCAAGTGTTATTTTTGTTGGTCCTACTGATATGTCATTTTCACGGTGAAGCTCCCATAAATCTTTGGTGTTTTGGTTGCTGCAACATGCCCAACCTTTGGCGAAATCCCCATTCTTTGGCTTCGTGGCTTGGTAAATCACTGGGTAAAATCCCAGCTGTCTTGGTTAAAGCGTCCCTTGGCTCCCACGCCATCACAGAGTTCACGCCATCCGTAAACTTGGCCGCGGTGATGTCGTGGTTGCCATAGTAGCCGTAGGACAACACCGGCTGGCGCAGGCGCCAGCGGGGAGAGCCGTGCCCAAAACGGGTGAAGATGGCCCTTAAACCATCAGCTGGTGGCTTTTCTCATAGTCACAGAAGATTTTGATGGGGCTTCAAGTGTCGAAAAGCATGTGTTTTCGTGGTGAGACCAACTATTTGATCTATTTGGCCTTGATGTCCACTAAGTACACGTAACAAGTTAAAAATCCTGAAGAACTTGTCTTGCACAGGCCAAAATGTTGGAAACATCCTGAGCGGTAGCTGTCAAAGGGGTCTACTCAAGACTCAATTCACCGATTTTGTGAACATTTGGAAATACACCCTGAGGATAAGCAACTCCGTTTCTTCTTGGGTTTCACTCGGGTTGACCGTCGAATTGAGCACTCAACTAGTCAACTAGCCCCCAAGTTTTCGACATCACCATGTTTCGTGTTAATCAATCACATATCAATCACAACACCCTGTGTTTGCCGCATATCCCATGTTTGTTTCGTTGGAAATCTGTGGCTGCCCCAGATTTTGGAATCTCAGAACCTTCGAATGGGCTTAAGAATGAAGGCAGAGACTTAGAGGGGTACAGGTTCCCTCGGGGATTTTGTTTCAGATTTCCAGGTGATTTTTGTTTCAGGCAGCTCTACTGCAGAAAACACCACCAACCTGCAGGAGGCTGCGCAAAAAAATTTCGCGCAGGAACATGCTCTCGTCTCAACCCAGCGTGGCAAAATCACCAAAGCTGCATGCGCCGAATTCAAGGTTCCATTATGGATTATTTCCGCTGCGTTTGGTGTTTATTTACGGGTGGTTTAGGGCTTGTTTGAACTAGGTTTGGTTTCTGGTACTTCTTTCGGGTTGGTTTGGGGATTATTTGGGATTGTCTTAGGGTTTGCTTAGGGCTGGTTGAAGTTTTGTTTAGGGTTGGCTTAGATTTGATTTAGGGTTTGATTTTTTTACTGATAAAGTTTATTTAGGGTTTGTTTGGGGGTTATTTGCTGTAAGCTTATGGTTTATTTAGATGTTGTTTCAGAAGCTTATTTAAGGTTGCTTGTGTGTTTGTTTAGGGTTGGTATGACATTTATTCAAGGTTGGTTTCAAGATTTAAGGTATTTGTGGTTTTATTTATGGTCGGTTTCAAGTGTGTGTCTCTAAGGTTGGTTTAGAATGTTGATTCAGGGTTGGTTTATGGTTTGCTTAAATCTGGTTTAGGTTGATTTTGGGTTGGTTTAGGGTGTTTTTTTTAAGATTTGGTGTGAATTTGTTGAAGGCTTATTGTGGTTTATTTATAGTTGCCCTAAATCAAGCTTAAGTCAACCCTAAGCAAACCCTAAACTAACCGTGAAGAAACCCTGAACCAAATTCAAATAACCTAAAACCAACCCAAAAGAAACACATTATATACATCTACCCTAAATAAATCCCAAGCGTAAATAAACAAGCTGAACCAACCATCAAGAAACACCTTGAACCAACCGTAAATAGACCCGAAACCAACTTTCAAAAGGCTACTAAAACCCCTAAATCAATTTCAAACCATAAACCACCTGTAAATAACATCCTAAACGAAGCCTAAATCAGACCTAAGCCAACCTCATTTCAGACCCTGAATCCCTAAAAACGGTAACGAAACCTTAAAGAAACACCAGAAATCTTCAAATCAATTCGGAATAAACCCTAAACCAACCCCAAACAACCCCGTAAACCAACTTTAAGTAGACCCTGAACAAACTCTTAACCAACCCTAAATAAGCCCTGAACGAACCCAAAAGAAACAACTGGTTTAAAATTCAATGAGACTTGGTTTCAACATTTCAGATGGCTCAGGGTTTATTTAGGGTAGGTTTAGGGTGTTTGTTTCGGGTTGGATTATGCTGGCTGGATGGCTGGCTGTCCTCCTCCCTCCCTTGCTGGCTTGCTCCCACCGTAGATCACTTCCCATAAGCCATAGCGCCATGGCAAACCGTTCGCCACAGGCCAAACACGTTTTGAGCTGGGAGACCCAACTCCTCCAACGTACAGCTCACCCACAAGCCCCCGTGGAACTGGCTTCCTGGGATGGAGGTTTCGTTCGCAGGGAAAATCATCGGAAATGAGGGATTTTCCGGCCATGTTTGCCATAGGGTACTGGATTTCGCTGTTCAACTGATTTTGGGGTTGCTATCCCAGTCTCTTCATAGCACATAAAGCTATCCAATCCTCGAAGAGGTAAATTGTCCCTTCCTCACACAGGTCAATGTCTTCCCTTAGATCATCGTAGAGAACTAGCTAGCAGAGGGAAACTTGGGTCTGAAAATACGGTCACTTTTCATTTGGTGGGAAATCGGCTTCAGCACCTTTGTAGCACGGAGAAAGGTCCTCCAAACTGCTATTACAAGCTGCAGTTCCAAGCTGCTCAAAGTCAAAAATGTCTGGTCTCTCTGAAAATCATCCAATAATCATCCTAAGATCATCTTAAAAGTCACCAAAAATCCACCGTTTGATGCCTCAAAGATGGCCCACCCTTCGACGGCCCCGAGGACCCAAGCAGATTCTCAGGATCCACGATGCACGCAGTGATGCCACAGGCCATCTGCTGACAGGCTGCAGCAAAGACCTGTGGTTTCGGGGCCAAGCCAGGACCTCCATGACACCTACTGTGGGGTTTATGTATGTATGTAATGTAATGTAACGTAATGTAATGCAATGCAATGCAATGTTATGTTATGGTATGTTGTGTAATGTAATGTAATGCAATGTCGTGTCATGTAATGTAATGTATGTATGTATTTATGTATGTATGTATACACACATATACATATGTTTACATCCGGTTATGGTGATTATAACCATTATAACCATAGTTTGATGTAGTTGGACCACCGCCCACAAATGGCCGTGGCGTTCTTGTTGTTTTTTTGTCGTTTTGTATTGGTTTTTACAGCATTTTGTCTGTTTCTCGCTGTGCCACTGGTCCGTTGTTCCACCTTGTTTGCTCCTTTTTGGTGTCTTTTTTTATTGTGGGGGTGGGTTTTTGGGGGGGTTCGGGGGAGGGGGGGCGTAATAACGTCCTGTCGCATGCGTTTTACTTGAGCTACATTGTGAACTTTCTTCCTAGAACTTCAGACGCTCTTGATGCTACGTTGTGAACTTTCTTCCTAGAACTGCAGACGCTCTTGATGCTGCTACGTTGTGAACTTTCTTCCTAGAACTTCAGACGCTCTGGATGCTACGTTGCGAACTTTCTTCCTAGAACTTCAGACGGTCTTGATGCTACGTTGTGAACTTTCTTCCTAGAACTTCAGACGGTCTTGATGCTACGTTGTGAACTTTCTTCCTAGAACTTCAGACGCTCTTGATGCTACGTTGTGAATTTTCTTCCTACAACTTCACACGGTCTTGATGCTACGTTGTGAACTTTCTTCCTAGAACTTCAGACGGTCTTGATGCTACGTTGTGAACTTTCTTCCTAGAACTTCAGACGGTCTTGATGCTACGTTGTGAACTTTCTTCCTAGAACTTCAGACGGTCTTGATGCTACGTTCTGAACTTTCTTCCTAGAACTTCAGACGGTCTTGATGCTACATTGTGAACTTTCTTCCTAGAACTTCAGACACTCTTGATGCTACGTTGTGAACTTTCTTCCTAGAACTGCAGACGCTCTTGATGCTGCTACGTTGTGAACTTTCCTCCTAGAACTTCAGACGCTCTGGATGCTACGTTGTGAACTTTCTTCCTAGAACTTCAGACGGTCTTGATGCTACGTTGTGAACTTTCTTCCTAGAACTTCAGACGGTCTTGATGCTACGTTGTGAACTTTCTTCCTAGAACTTCAGACGGTCTTGATGCTACGTTGTGAACTTTCTTCCTACAACTTCACACGGTCTTGATGCTACGTTGTGAACTTTCTTCCTAGAACTTCAGACGGTCTTGATGCTACGTTGTGAACTTTCTTCCTAGAACTTCAGACGGTCTTGATGCTACGTTGTGAACTTTCTTCCTAGAACTTCAGACGGTCTTGATGCTACGTTCTGAACTTTCTTCCTAGAACTTCAGACGGTCTTGATGCTACATTGTGAACTTTCTTCCTAGAACTTCAGACACTCTTGATGCTACGTTGTGAACTTTCTTCCTAGAACTGCAGACGCTCTTGATGCTGCTACGTTGTGAACTTTCCTCCTAGAACTTCAGACGCTCTGGATGCTACGTTGTGAACTTTCTTCCTAGAACTTCAGACGGTCTTGATGCTACGTTGTGAACTTTCTTCCTAGAACTTCAGACGGTCTTGATGCTACGTTGTGAACTTTCTTCCTAGAACTTCAGACGGTCTTGATGCTACGTTGTGAACTTTCTTCCTAGAACTTCAGACGCTCTTGATGCTACGTTGTGAACTTTCTTCCTAGAACTTCAGACGGTCTTGATGATGGTGGTGATGGTGATTATGATGATGATTATTATTATTATGATGATGATGATGGTGATGGTGATGATGATGATGATGATGGTGATGGTGATGGTGATGGTGATGATGATGATGATGATGGTGATGGTGATGGTGATGGTGATGATGATGATGATGATGATGGTGGTGGTGGTGGTGCTGATGATGACGATGATGGTGATGATGATGATGATGGTGATGATGCACAAAAGATGAATGGAGTCCTTAGTTGCGGGCAAAAAAAATAGAATATTTTGCTCGCAGTTCCACTGGTTTCTATCATGACAATATTTTCCCCAATGGAACTACGCATGAAACATGTGAAATCAAAGACTGTCCCTTAAACGCAGTGTAATTGCGTGATTCAAACAACATTGAAACATTGAAAATGCTATTTTACACCATGGCCGCCTATGAGCGGTGGACCTAGTTAGATAGGGAAATTAGGATGTCACCCAGTAATTCAAAAGGGGTGTGAAATAGTTTTAGGATTTTTTTTTTTGAGCAGGTTTGGGATTTTTTTTTGGATTTCTTGGCTGGTACCATTTGCCTAGTGTTTGCAACGGTTTGGAACTTGAATTTGTCATTTTGCATGGTATTTGCCACATTTGGGCATGTTCACCTTCCATTTTGCATGGGATTTACTACATGTGGGCATGTTCACCTTCCATTTTGTATAGTATTTGCCACATTTTGGCATGTTCACCTTCCATTTTGCATGGGATTTCCTACATGTGGGCATGTTCACCTTCCATACAATTTGCCACATTTTGGCATGTTCACCTTCCATTTTGCATGGGATGTTCTACATGTGAGCATGTTCACCCAAAAAATTACAGATGCGGAAGCTTGGGATTAGATAAAAAGCGGGTGGGGGGGATTGAGGGAGGGCGCTAGCTATCTAGCTAACTATCTATCTAGCTATCTAGCTATCTAGCTTTCTATCTAGCTATCTATCTATCTAGCCATCTATCCAGCTATCTAGCTATCGAGCTATCTAGCTAACTATCTATCTAGCTATCTAGCTTTCTATCTATCTAGCTATCTATCTAGCCATCCAGCTGTCTATCCAGCTATCTAGCTATCTATCTATCTAGCCATCCAGCTGTCTATCCAGCTATCTAGCTATCGAGCTATCTAGCTATCTACTAGCTAACTATCTACCTATCTATTTAGCTATCTATCTATCTATCTAGCTATCTATCTAGCTACCTCTTTATCTATCTAGCTATCTATCTATCTATCTATCTAGCTATCTATCTAGCCATCTATCTATCTAGCTATCTATCTAGCCATCTATCTATCGAGGTATCTAGCTATCTATCTCTCTAGCTATCTTTCCATCTAGCTGGCTATCTATCTATCTAGCTATCTATCTACCAAGCTATCTATCAGCTATCTATCTATCTATCTGTCTGTCTGTCTATCTATCTATCTATCTAGCTATCTATCTAGCTACCTCTTTATCTATCTAGCTAGCTAGCTATCTATCTATCTAGCTATCTATCTAGCCATCTATCTATCTAGCTATCTATCTAGCCATCTATCTATCGAGGTATCTAGCTATCTATCTCTCTAGCTATCTATCCATCTAGCTGGCTATCTATCTATCTAGCTATCTATCTACCAAGCTATCTATCCAGCTATCTATCTATCTATCTATCTATCTATCTATGTATCTATCTATCTATCTATCTATCTATCTATCTATCTATCTATCACATGTAAACCTGTCAGCTTTCCAGAGAAGGTTAGTTCGCAAAAACCAACTAATGTAACTTGGGTTTAAGTTTAAATTAAAAAAAAGCGGGAGGGGGGGATTGGGGGGAGGGCGCAGCGCCTCCCCCCAAAGCAGAATGCAAGCACCTCTTCTCACATGTTACGTTGCTAGTTTTCAAGAGAAGGTTGGTCATGTGATACTCAGGGATGTAAATACTGTGCAAAATGCATCTTACATGAAAATCAAGTATTTAAAGCAGGCAAAGCAAAAAAAAAAAGCAGAGAAGCAAAAAAGCAGAGAAGCAAAGAAACAGGAAACGCACAAAAGCAAAACAGCAGAAAGGCAAAGAAGCAGGAAAAGCAGAAAAGCAGAGAAGCAGGAAAAGCAGGAAAAGCAGAGAAGCAAAGAAACAGGAAAAACAGAAAAGTAAAAAAGCAGAAAAGCAGAGAAGCAGGAGAAGCAGGAAAAGCAGAGAAGCAAAGAAACAGGAAAAACAGAAAAGTAAAAAAGCAGAAAAGCAGAGAAGCAGGAGAAGCAGGAGAAGCAGAAAAGCAAAAAAGCAGAAAAGCAGGAAAAGCAGGAAAGCAGAGAAGCAGGAAAAGCAGGAAAAGCAGGAAAAGCAGAGAAGCAGGAATCCAAAAATAATTCCTAAACCTGATCAAAAAAAAAATCCTAAAATAATTAGCCCTCCATTCAAAAGTCTGGTATGGATAAATGACCATGATTAATAGGTAAATTGTCTGTAAATGGACAATTTTACATGAATGGATGTGTTAGTTTAACAGAGGGTATGTGCTAGGGTCAAAACATTGTATATGGATGTCTATGGTTCATGATCATCCATCCCACAGTGGGAATTCTTATAATGGGTATCTAGATCCCTGTGAATGAATGGATGAATGACGTTCCCCTAATATTAAACAATCCCATTGTATGTTCCCAAATATGTGTAAATCCCCTATGGCGGGTCTTCAATATTGGGAAGAGATTAGTTTTAATCCTCCAGTTGTACTTATTTATTGCTATACGTACTAGTTGTGTATCCGTGCCAGAGAGTCCTGTATTTAGAGCCAGTTTGACAGGATGCTATATAGTGGGATATTAATGGAATTGTCATGGGAATATCTTATGGCATATAAAACTAACTGAGCCATTAAAAATACCCATGTCCCATCGCAGTATATTAGTTGCGGCTGGTAGGTTTTTCCCCGCTATGGGTTACAATCATCCCTAATAATCCCGGTATTCCTACAAAAACCAGTCGACAAGGCTATTTTTGATGGCTCAGCAACAATCAAAAGTATGTTTTTGGGATGACCAACCCAATAGCCATGGCTTTTTTCTCTAGGGACTCTAAGCGGCAAAGACTCTGGTGGTCTAAAACTTACTAATCAGGAAATCATAGGAAATCATGCGCTGTGATGGGGGAAATTAGGGACAATCTCCTTCGGGGTCCGTTCCAATCATGTTTGGCTTTCTGGGGCGAATCTTGACGGCGAATTCCAAGAATCCATTGGGGGCACCTTTCAGGAGGCGGGTGGAATCCTCATTGAGATGCATGTTTGTGTGGATCTCTCTTTTGTATGCTGGATATATAAATTATATACATACGTATATATATATGTATATATATATACATGTATGTATATCCTAGTATATTGTATGTTCATGTAGGGGTGCACCTGGCCTTAAATGCTCTAGAAAAGGCCATTTGGTAGCCCCAACCAGCCATTTATAGCTCTAGACCATCACCCCGGACTGTACTTGGGGGCAGGGCTGGAGTGGAACAAAATTACGGGCACAACTATGGGAGTTTAACCCCCATGTTTGTTGCGATAGGCCAGAAACAACTCTACAACAATGCGTCTCTCAAAACCTACAAACACAACCTCAACTGCACCCATTTCAGTAGTTCCCAACCGCAACTATTTTTCACTGTGCTTGTTGCTGACCCCCCCATCTTTGAAGGTTTTGAAGGTTTTGTGGCTTTGTCTCTACACAGAAATGTGGATCCCACTTGCGCAACGTACCTGGCTGGGCTCATAGCTCCCAGCTGGCGCCACCTGGGCATAGCCTCAGTACAAACGTCATGTGCGATGGTTATCGAGGCCAAATTGATATGAGATACCCTCTGGTAATTTAACGTAGCTATGGAAAATCACCATTTTCAATGGGTAAATCCACCATAAATGGTCATTTTCAATAGCTTTGTTAAATTACCAGAGGGTATCAAAGCTGTTAAACGATAGTTATTCACTATGTATCTGATGATATCTGGTGAATTTGATTTTTGAATTTAAATTATCCTATAAAGCTATTTGAGCTATGGGTATGTGATGTCATTGATCAATCCGAATTCATGGGTATGTGATGTCCAACTTATCTGATATATGGGGTGATTGCTATGATAGCTAGTTTGATGTCATTTGTGATATGATCTGTGTAGAGATGATGATTCATTTCATCTGATGTACAGGAGAGAAAAATTGATAGTGCATTTGCTATGATCTAAGATATCATTTGAGATAGCTGATTTGAGAGCTCATTTGATATCTTATGATCTGGATCTCCAAAAACACACGCGCATTTGATGTGAAGGCTTCAATCCCTTGTTCAAACATGAATTTGAATTCAAATGTTAAATGAACCCATATCAATCCTGAACCCATATAAATTCAATATTCATATCCATATTTCATACGTTAAATTTGATTAGCCCTCGATGTCCCAGAAGATCATCGGTAAGTGTCCCATTTTTTCACCAGCCAATTAAAAAGGGTGGATACATGTGCTAGTGATAAATATGTTGCATTACCAACATGTTTTCGAGTTTTTAGAACATCACCCATTTTTGTGACATCACACAGTTTTCCATATGTCATGGTGATGTTCCAAAACTCCAAAACGGTACATGTCAAAAAAAAAACAGAAGATCGTCTCTCTTGAATTGGTGATCGCCACCCTTTTGCCAACAAACAGCAGGGGTGTCATCTCCAACGAACTGTAGGTGATGTAAAAAGAAAAAAGTGTTGAGTCCCAAATGCAGGACGTGTGCTTGTCTGAAAATAGGCTAAATCCAAATCTGTTCATTGATCATCATTCTTCCCATCAAAATAGTTATTTGAAGTTCATCCGCCCAATTTTCAGCAACATCCACTTAAATACCTCTGGGCAAAGCTGTACAGATTGGTGGCTTTCCTGAACTCAAGTCCCCAAAATGGGTAAGTAGGCACCATAACCATCCACGACAAAGAAAGTGATAGTAACTCATAAGACCATAAGAATAACAATAATCAATAGTAACAATAGCAACATTCTAATAGGTTTAGAAAAATTGTAACAATACTGACCATAAGCATAGTTGTTTTACCAAAAAAAAGTAATGGAAAAAAAATAACCCCTAGCAACTTCTCCGCGTCGGCCCAGGGGCCAATATCTCCACTTTCCCAGGTGGAGTAGTCATTGATGAGCCGACACCTGTCTTTCTAATCGAATACAAGTTAGTAACCAACAAAGTGTTGGGGCTATAAAACCAACGAGATATCGATATAAATACATATCTATATATAGATACATATAGTGGTGAGATATTCTGGGATGATAGTGGGATGATAATGGGATGGTAATGGGATATCCCAATGATGCGCAAAACCCAGGAGTCTGGGACAGATCGCCAGCATACTATTGACACCTTTGCCGCAAATGACTTGGAAAATTCCATAAAACTCTGGCTCAAAAAATAGGAAGTAGAACCCACAAATTGATGATGATTTGTATTTTACCAGGTCAACCGAGTATGGGGTGAAATGCAACACTATCCGCTAAGCAGCTGATACTTTTGAACCAACGCTACAGAGTAGATCGATGATATATACACTACATGGTTTTACTGCAGGAGTTTTTACACCCCCCTCGGGCGAGCAGGGACGACTGCGGAGAACGAATAACCCAGAAGAGCATACCCTCGCGGGTAGCCAAATTTCTTTAGTTGGTTTTGATCATTTTTATGCAGTCTTTCAAAGGTCCCTTTAAAAAGCTCAAGCCCGTAAAACCCAGCGCAGCTTTGCAAGGAAGGCACATTACCATGCCGCATCTTGCGCTATGCTACAAAAGAAAATCATCGTCTACCTGCGGTTCCAATAGATCCACCGGCCGCCGGCCTCGTCACGGTAATACCAAGCCCCACGCCAGAAACTCCATTCTCGGCGTGCACCATAGTGATCACGATTCCAACTCCAGGAGGCATCCGGGCGACCGGAGCTTGCAGCCTTTGATGTGACTCCTGTGCTTGCTGCTTTTGCAGTGGGCGGTGTCTCAGGCTCCAAGAATGGTCGCGCTCCTGCTTTGGATGTTGGTGGTTCAGGTGCAAGAAATGGTGCATTGTTGGGGTCAACTGGGGCATCAGCGTGCGAGGCATCTGCGCGAGCAGAGCTTGAGGCGGCAGTGTCATCATGTGTGGTGACGGATGCATCAGCTTCGGCTTTGCGTTTTCGCTCAGTGGTGGGCGCGACCGTGGGGTCGGCCTTATGACCTCCAGGACCTCCAGCCTTTGCAGCGGCGCTCTGCTTCTCTTTGCGTTCAAGGTTTCCCCGAACCAATGGAAGATTTTCCTCATACACCTTTTCGAGGAATTCAAGAGTGCCATCAAAAGGAACTTGGACAGTGCCCTTCCAGGTCAAAAGGCCACGGAATGCGCCACGACGACCGATGTAGCTGACATATTCATCCTCTGTAAAAATGTGGCGGCCGAACATGAATCCCCAGACCTTCTTCCATGTTTTGCGGAACTCAACTGGGAAACCATCAACACCTCGAGGCTGGGACATGAAAATCAACTTAGATAAGCAGTTTTCATTTTGGGCATTGGCGGCGACGCCAGCCGAGATCTGAGCTTTGGTCCTTGGGGGATCGGGGAGGTTGCCATATGCGAACATGTCGTCGAATATGCAGTCCTGCAGGTCCTTCCCCTCACCGTGGATGCGGTCGCAAAAAGTGACGTCGCTGGAGTATCTGTCTTCCACGTCCTCGTAGCCCAGCGCTTTTGCACGTCGATGCCTGTCGCGGCAGTCTTTGAGGACTGCTGATTCCACGGATGTGATTCCCCTGGGGCCCAGTTCCCGGCGAAGCAGATTGGCTTGCTCATCCGTCAAGGCTGTCAGCAAGCTTCCGCTCATTTTCCCAAACATTCCGAACCCGGCGAGACTTTGCATTCGCCGTTCAAGGATGCGTGTCCTCCTGTTGGGTTTGTCGGCCTCTTTTGTATCGCCACTTTCGTCCACTGGGAGTGGCTCATATCCACATGTGGTGCATGTCACTTGGCCACTGACGTACTCAACCTGGCAGAGGGGGCAGGAGCCCATGAAAGGTTCGCAGTACTTGGGTGCAATGTAAACACGGCGCGTCCTTGCGGGCGGCTGGTCAACTTGCATTGGGGCAGTGGCTGCATCATCATCAGTGGACTTGGCATCGGGTCGCCCCGTGCTGGTGTCATCCATTGGGTCGTCGTTTGCATCATCTCGGGCAGTCAGGGTGACCGCTTTGGATTTCGGTGCTGAGGCTGATTCCGCGCCTGTCCATGAGCTGGGCTCGAGATTGCTCTCGGCGCGGGACCAAAGCACCTGTCCTTCTTCTGAGATGCTGACCAGAAACTGCGGTGGAATGCGTTCTGAACACAAAATACCATCCATTTCTGTGCGACTAAAGATGACACCAGCTTCAACTGCTTGCCGCATTGCGATTTTGACTTCGACTGGACATTTTGCTCTTAATCCAGATCGATACCCCTGTGTGCCGATACAGTGTTCTGCCATGTAGATATGAGCACGGCCACTGTTGACTGTGTCACCGCCGCCTGGGATCAGGCCGTTCTGTGCGATGCTCTTCCAGCTGCTTCTCATCGTGCGATGGAAGACAACCTCAGGGACCTCAGTCATGGCACACAAGGGCACGCCAGTGAAGGCGGCTTTTCGCTCGGGGGATACTTGGTTTGAGCAATACACCATGGTTGAATTGGCATAAAGACCCCCTGCGGTTTTCAAGGCAGCTTCAGAGTGACCCTGAATTGCACGGATTTTCACAGGATAATACGGCATGCCTAGGCCATTGTCGACAGGAAAATGGGAGATCTTTGCACACAAGAATTGGAACCTACTCTTGCCATGCTTGTCGATCTTCATTGCGGTGCCAAACAGGTTTGCGACAGTGATGAAAACATCTGGGGGCACTTCCTTGCGGAAGGCTTTGGCAAAATCCTCCAAGTCAATCCAAAGGTCTTTGTCCATTGGCACCTTGGCACAGGATCCATGCCCCCTGCAAACTTTGTTGACACGAGTTGCAAAATCAGAAAATTTCTTGTCGACACGAGTCTGGCCAGCAATGGTCTCAACGTCGGATGCCGATATCAGCTCCAGCTCATACGCCGTACCTTCAAAGAGGATACCGGGCACATCGTCCCCGTCTGCATTGGTCACCATTGTATATTGGTATTCAGGCAAATGCTCTTCCATCCAATATGCTTTCACGTGGCCGGATGCATGTCCCTCTAAGCGCGCAGTTGCCTGCGGCTGGTACTGGCTGGATGTGGCTCTCTTGTCATCTGCGGGCTCATCCAATGGTACTGGCGCTGCTTTCGGCCGCGACTTCAACATGACCTCAGCCGTTTGGACCAGGATTGTTGCTCTGCTGGATGCAGCGGGCTCGCCGTCGCCGGCGGCCTTTGGAGGGTCATCTTTGGGAGGCTCAGCAAAAGTGCCCGAAGGCATCGTCTTGGTGTCGATGTAGTCCTCAGTGTCAGGTTGTTGAGCTTCGACGTCCTCCTTGGTGAATGACCTGCCCGTCGGCGTGATGTGTCTTCGGGACTCTCCAAAAAGCAACTTGGTGATGTTTGCACATGTCTCCTGATAGGATCTTGGCAGCTCGTCCAGGACGGCGCTCATGTTCCTCCGCAAATCATCCCATGTTTCCTGGCCACACTGAGTAAGCTCCAAACCAATTCGGCCAACCCGCCATCCGCAATCAATTGCGAAAAGGGTAGCTGTCCAATAGGCAGCAAGACGCGTGCGATTTTCTTCAGAGTTGGCGAAATGCCACTGGTCTCTGAATTCCATTGCATCGGCGTACCCCTTTGCTCTCAGCCACGGATACTTCGGATTGGCAAGCCCTTGCAGGCTGCTGGTTAGAGCTTTAAATCGGGGCTCCAAAACATCAAAGAACTGGTCAAAGATAGGATGGATGCCATAATCTGCGCTCCAAGGCGCGGTCGTGAGACCGGCCGACTGCAAATCCAACTCCCGGGCCTTGTTGACAAACCATGTCAAGTGGCGCTCACAATCATCCAGGATCGTGGGCCAGTGCCCGTTGGGGCCGTCGTACGGCCAATTTGGATTTTGGGCAATCCCATCCTCTCCTACCAATTCATTTCCGAACCAGGACAAATGCAGGTTGATGCGTGCATCAGGATAGCGCTCGCGGGCGTCCGCGGCCAATTCAATCCCACGCTTGACCAGCTTCTGCAGAGTCTTGCCCCAAAGCATCTCATGGATGAACTCAGTCACATACTTAGGCTTGCGCTGCCGGTAATGCTCGGACAGGTCAAACTTCTTAAGTGTTTTCCTACGCCCTGTGATCAATGCACATGACGAGTCAGAGACTAAGATCCAGATTACATCATTGACGGGCATCTCTGGCAACATGATCTTTTCAATGTGGGACTCCTTTGGCAAAAAGCAGAAGCTAAGGTATTCTGCAAGCGGATCCTCTCGACCGTAGAACCTCAGGGCCGAAGCCGGCGTCCATTCAGTCATCAGTCCATCCACGAGGTCCTGAGCAGCCTGATTCTCACCTTCATTGCGCATGGCCAATGCAAACAAAATGCGATTGTGAAGGAGCAACCATGCTTCTTTGTTAGCCTCACGTGTGGCTTCGAGCGCAGCCTCGCGGCTGGCCGGGTGTGCTGTGGCATATCGCGAGTCAGCCATTTTAGCAGGACAGGCACGAATGACAGCGGGTGAAATCCTTTTGGATGTTTGGCCCACCACAGCTACCCGGAAACACTCATGGAGCATGTCAGTCAACTTGAAGGTATAGTTCTCAGCAAGTTTAAGAGCTTTGCCCCTACTTTGATCATGCTCATGTTTGCCATCACATTTGAATGAGTCTAACACTTCGAGTTCTTTGAAGTTTCCTGCAATAGTCCAACTTTTCTTCATTGGTTGACCGTTGTTTCCAAGAACACCCAACATACAACCATCAAAGTGATGAGTAGTCATGGATCGTTCTATGAGGAATTTTCTAACCATCGGCCATCTCCAATATTTGCAATTCTTGGACAGTTCAAATGCTATCAAGGTTCGTTCATCATAAACTTCATCCACAAGTTTGACAAAAGATTTGAACAACTTGGTAAACTGTTTTTGTTGCTCTTTGATTCTTTCTTGACCCTCAACAGTAAGGCCATTCACATTCCCCCATGGGCTACC